GAAAATGGCTGGGAAATGCTATAAAACCCCCCAAAACATTGACCAGGGACGCTCCTGTTAAAATGCCAGGTGACAACCCAGGTGGGAGAAGCTCTTGGCGAGCAGAACCAAAATGAGCTTGGCAATGTGAAGGAAATAAGACAGAATTTTGCAACTTAAGTGTGTGCAATTAAGTGCACAGGAACAGAGCAAATGCTCCCCATCCACCTGAAAGTGGCTGGGAGTGACAAGCTGACTTGCAAGATCAGGAGAAGGAAACCAGCAACAGTGAAGTGGCTCTTCAAAGGAGATCCAGGCAGCAGAGAGCAATCTCAGACCCCTGGGGCCAGCAAACACGGACCCATGGGGAAGGGCTGGAGGAACCTGGGCTCTGCAGCACAGGAGGGCAGAGGGACACAGAGCCTTGAGCAAGGGGCTTAAGCTGCTCTGAAGAAAATCCAGGAAAAGAGCTTCTCCACAGCCACGCCATGCTGCCAGGTACCCTTCTTTAAATCTTCCAAACATTCACATGTTGGCAAATAAAGCTCATCTCGGTTAAACAACCACACTTACAACCTTGACACCAAGCCAAATGCATCCATTTCAGGGTTATTTCCTTCTAGCCAAAGGCCAAGGAATGGAAGCCACGAGGTGCCACCTTGCAGCAGGAGATGCCTCCACAATGCCCCAGGGATGCTCTGGCAGGGTTGTGCATCAGCCCCAAAGGACCCATATCTTGCCCCAAAGGAGCCAGTGTAGTTGGAAACACATCCCAAGGGATGGGACAGTCAAATATCAGCCCCCTAAGTGCCAGATTTTAGATGTCACTTTTCAAGGGAACCCAAAGGACTCATCAAAAAGGATGCTCATGGCCACAGACCCATGGTGGATGCTTGCAAAGGAGAGACCACAGGGAGGTGTGTGGACCTCCAGAGACAAGCAGCTTGTTCCCCAGCATTCTGGAAATGAGAGGCACAGCACTGCAAAAAGCTCCAGGCACATTCCCACCATCCTTGCACCTGGGGGACAGCTGAGAGGAGAACCCCTCCATGAACCTGGAAAAGCAGAAAGTGCCCACCTTCCAGGGCATCCTCCAAAATAGATAAGGATGCAACCAGGAACACCTCTCCACAGTGCCCAGCAGCAGCCAACCCACAACCCCCCTCATTCACCTCCTCCTCCAGAGCTTGCCGGCTGCCCTGGCTTTAATCCCACAGGCAGCATCATCCCGATAATTTCCTCCATTTTCAATCTAGTTCCCTCCATTTTCAATCCACTGATCTAGGGGCAGTCCACAAATCCCTTCATCCTGAGAGCGAAGCAATCTACTGCTTCATCTCATCCCATCTCCACTTCTTTAATCCCTGGAAACAGGGATGAGGTTTGGAGCACAAGGGCTGCCCCAGAGCAGACTGTCCAGGTGCTGCTGGACAGAAACATGGGGGAGTGGGGCTACTCTCATGAATGTCACCCAACTTCTCAAAGCACCTGGGGCAGGTCCGAGCCCCTCCTGATCCAGGGATGGGGGAACAGATCTTCCCACTCCCCCCAAGTGCCATGCTGGGGACGTATGGGACAGATGAGGTGCAGCACAGAAAACATGTGGGGATCAATCAAGGGTGATGGGGGTAGTTACAAACACCTTGGTCCCATCAATCCCGGTTGGATCCAGGGCTCTGTCTGCAATTCTAAACCCATGAGTTTGACCCTGGCCATGGATCCTCTTTGGGAATGGGAGACTGATCAGAGACATGGGAAATGGGACTCTTGTCTGCCTTCCCTGGAATAGTGACCCAGCACCCCGAGGGGATAGGTCGGGATGCAGACTGACACCATCTCTCCTTTGCCAAGCCCCCGCTGGTGCAGGGCCAGAGGAGGCGGGAGCAGGGGATCGCACACCGATGGCCACCACAGGGCTGCGTCCCACCCAACACTGTCCCCAGCCCAAAGGAAGGGGCTGCAGGGCAGTGTGTGACAGGGCTGTGTGGTGGCCATGCTGGGCTGCACTGTCCCCATCCTGCACGGTGCTGGCTCTCCCCGCTCCAGCTGGCGAGGAGGAGGATGGGGGCCCTCGGCATCCGGGGGTGGATCGCCAGTGTGCTGCACTCAGACCCTGACAGCAGGCTCCAAAACTGTCACTCCCGATCTGTTTTCACTTCAGCTAAACCTCAACCCCGATTACAATCAAGGAGAGCCGCCTCTCCTCTCCCCTTCTCCCTGTGGTAGGTCCTCTGTAACCTTGGGTCTCAACGCTGAGCCAAACCCCAGCCAGGGAATAGGTGAACTGGCTCCGCTGGGAATTGGGGGTGCTGGAGACGGGGTCACGACTGCCCCTGTCCCCAAACCTGGCTCTGGCAGTGAGGGCACAATGGTTGCATCCCTGCAGGGCTGTGGCTGTCTGTCAAAATCCATGGGGGATGCACCACCGATATCACCAACACCACAACCTGCCTCTGCCATGGGTGGTATCCAGCTTCAAAGTTGCATCCATGGACTACAGGGGGTTTGGCAGCAGTAGCGTGCCCCCACTGCCCGCTGCCAGCTCACTTAGCAACCCCCAAATTAAATAAATAAATTAAACCAGATCCGTGTGTGTGCGCGTGCAATCACAGCACCAGGATGGATGCATTCAGCAGAAAGCTAGGAAAAAGCTCAGCGGATGGAGACAGCCCTCACCGACTGGGGAAGCTTTCAAATTCCCTTTCCAACTCAGCTGGCCATAAAGCAGCTGCAGAGAACCATCAGACTCCCGTCACAGGGGCTGTCACCCACCCTCATGCCGCAGGACTGGGGGGCTCAAGAGCAGAGGGTTTGGGGACCATCCCTGCTCTCCAAATTTGGGCACACACAGCCTGCAGTCAGGGCTCCCAGTGCTCCGCCACCACTGGGACTGAGCTCATCCCAGTGTGCCAGGCATATCCTCCCCCCACCACGGAGAGCCACACCGCCAGCAAGGTGCCCTCTCCGCCTGCTCTGCAGCAAACACCCATTTTCCAAGAGGGGGCCTGGAAAAAGCAATTGATCCCCTGGGAAAAGCAATCCCAGGACCACCAAAGCAGTATGGCTGGCTGGTACCCAGGGGAGTACCCCTCAAGGTGGGGTTGAGCAGCTCCCTGTGCCCCTGGTCCACCCCCAAAGGGAGCTGGCCACCACTGAGAGATTTGCTCCATCCGCCAGTGATCCTGAAAGCATTCCCCTCCCCACATCCCACACTACATTCCTGCAGCTTCTCCAATGCTATTTTGAAGGCATTGAAATAATGTTGGAGGCACTTATAAAGAGATTTGTCCCAGCAGCCTTTTGTCCTCACCTCAAAATGACCATTTTTCTTTGAAGGAATAAGCGACCACTTAATTCAGAAAGATTAAAAGCACATTTCCTGCAGTTATTTCCCAAGAAGAAAATTTTGCTTTTGTGTCTGAGAACGCTGAAAATATTTATATAAATGAATCCCTAAAAGAAAGGGGGAAGTCTGAGATTAAGAGCTTAGGAAATATTACCGGGTTATTCTAGAATTCTGTATTAAGAGCAAAACCCCAGCTATTAGGAAAGAATGCCTGTTTGTTTTTTCTTTCAATTCAGCGTTGGGTTTCTGTGTCAAAATGCAGCCCAGCATCTGTCCTTGCATCTGTCAAAACCAAGGTCAATAATTTTATGGAAACTTAAACACAATGTCCTTGAGCTACTGTTTCTTGTTTATTTTTAAGCTAGATGTGACTTCCAATTAATAAAATCAGATTTTTTAAGATGGCTCACATTCAAATCACATTATCCCAGAAATCTCAGATTATGAGAAACACGTATCTGAGAATATTTTTCCTTTATAGTATGGAGATGATAATTTGAGGTTGATTTCAACAGCTTTTAAGTACTCTACAACATTTGCCAATAATATTTCACTTTTCCATTCATAAAGTGATGATGAAACCAAGGAAAATGCAACAGAAACATGAGGGTATCAGGAAGAATTTTGACACCCTGAGGAAAATGGGTATCTGAGGGCAAACAGAAAACAAAGCGAGCATCATAATAAAAGGGATTCCTCTCTCAGAATCAAATTTTTCCAGCAAAAGGAAAGAAAATTAGTGAAAATAGGATGGAATTAAATAAGAATATTTATAGCATTAAAAATTAATGGATGTGGAATGGAATTAGAAATGTTTTTTTAAAAAAATACTGGAACTAGAATGGAATTCAAAATAAAAATATTAAAATTTTGGAAATACAGTGGAACTAAAAAGTAGAAATACCTAAAACCAAACAAAACAAAATAAAAGAAGGTAAAAAATCAAATTAATTAGGGTTGGGGGTTTTATTATATTGCCACGCTAAGACATGACTAACATCCCTGTTATTTTAGTGGCCATTCCTTGAAGGTAATTCCATTTGTGCCATTCCCAGCCAAGTGCAAACACAAATGACACTGTCCAAAGCCTGAGTTGCAAATCACGGAATTTAGGAACAGCTGGATATTCTGGTTAAGGAAGAGATGGATGCCTCCCTACCCAGGGTGGCACTGGCTGCCGGGCATGGGTAAAATGGAATTTAACTGAAATAACTAATTTAACTATTTAACAAATAATTTAACTAAAGCACATGCTTTGAGAACGATGATTTTGCAAAACAAAGTCGCAGCAAGATTTGTCAAATTTAACTCGCACAAAATATCTGGCAAATTTTTTTTTGCAAAAACAAAACCAAAAAAAATATTTGGCAAAATAATTTCCTAAAAATATTTTGGGAATTTCTCCCAGGAGAGACTTGGGGAGCAGCCACTAACTTAAGGGAATACCATCGCTCGCGTGCCGATGTCTCCCATAATCCCACCTCACGCTGCCCCAGACGTAAATTTCTTCCACGAGAGATTCCCTTAAAACTGCTCCTAAGCGTTCAAAGCTCTTCCAACCCACACTGGAGCCTGGGACCTGGCTCATTTCAGGACTCTTCCCTGACTTACACTGGTGGGACAAGTTGCCCACAGCGGGTGGACTTCACTAAGACAATCTTTTAAATCTCCTTACCTTTCCCAAAGAACCGCTTTCGTGCTGCTTTGGCGGGAGGGCGATCCAGACAGATGGCCAGTCTTTTCACGTTTGGAAAGGATGAAAAATGCTACAGGGGGAAAAAAAATCCCAGTGATTTTTTTTTCTTATTCCGCTGTTCAGCGCGGAAGGGCTCCCAACCTCATTGGCCCTGGGAGAACCACCACGTGGCACAGGATGAAGGACACGTGACCTATTTTCTCCCAAATCCCTGGGTTTGCTGGAAAGGGGGATGCACCCACTGCTGATGCTCTTGTCATTTCATGGACTTTGATTTTTTTTTTTTTTTTTTTTTTTTAAAGGCCACTGAGCAAATCTGGATGGCTCCAGGCAATGAGGGCGAACCAGCCAACGCTTCCAACACGAAGGAGGAAGGATCTCAGCCTGAGATGAGCTTTGGTGCTCTGCCTCTGTGCAGGGGGAAATTTGGGCATGTTTTGCAGAGTGCCTGCCCACCCAGTGCAGGGCCAGAGCCTCAGGGAGGGACAGGAGGGCTGTGCTAAACCCTCCATCTCAGAGGCAGCAGCATGGTGGGAAGGACCAGGCTGAAGCCCTGCCTGCACATCCCAGAGTTCAGCTGCTCCCTGCAGGAAGCGGACGTGTTACAACTGTTCCATCACCCAAACCAGATGATCTTGTGCCCCGATGTTGCTCTTGACCCCTCCTCAGCTGCTCCCATCCTCTGCTGTCCTCCTGGCTGATGCACCAAACAACTGCTCCAAGAGATGACAATCTCCTTTGGAGGCTGCTGGAACAGCTTTCTGGGAAGGTGGACCAAGAGCAGTGGAGGGACTGTGGCACACTCCAGGTGGGCACTGCCTGCTCCCACCAGCCCTTGGCCACATCAGGCCCAAAGGGTGTTTCAGTGTCCCCCCACAGACACTCATCCAGCCCAAAATGCAGCAAAATTCTGGGCCTCCCAAAAAGATCCCCAAGACCCTGTGGAGCAAGGAAAGCCAAGCCACTGCTCCCAGAATCTGATTTTGACTGGTGCTAGGGGTGTCCCCTTGTCCCAGCTCTGAGCCACCACATCCCAGCTGGCCATGGTCCACAGGCCAAGCATTTTCTGTCCTTCCTTCATTATCCAGGGCAGGTACCAGCCCTTCGGTGTCCAGACATTCAGTTTGGGGAAGGGAAAAGGAATTTTTGTAGCCCTCAGATATCCTCATGTTTTGTCCATCAGAGCTCAAGCCAGTCGGACCAGTCAGAAGCAGCATTTTTCTGGCCACCCAAGTCTCCACCGGGCTGTGCCAACCCTTGCCTGTGTCATCTTTCCATGCCAGGGATACACCTGTTCACCTCAAAGCTACGGCCAAATCTACCTTGGGCACCTGCCCTTGGTAGAGCAGCTGTCCCCAGCCACCCCATCACCCAAGGGCTCAAGACCTTCTTATGCAGGGGTGGCACCTAAGGCTCCTGAGAGGACCAGCTGAGCTTGGTGAAGCAGCCATGGCCATCTCCAGCCCTTCTTGGCATCACCACCATGTCCCAAATGCTGGTTCTTCCTTGCAGATGTTCCCCTTCCATGGCTCTGCACAGTGACGGGAAGCATCAGAAGCACAGCCCCTAATTCCAGATTCTTCCTGAGGCCAGACTGTCTGACAATGCTGTTCCCAAAACCACAAGAACAGCCATAAAAGGCCCCAAACAGTGTAGAAAAGTGCAGGGTTTCACCCAAATCCTCTCTGGCTCGGAAGGTCACACTCCAGCCAGATCATGGGGCACTCAATTCCAATAAAGACACACTGAGGGAGAAACTTCCCACACTAAAATTTTCAAATGCAAACTACGGCCACAACCCAAAGCACCCAGCTCGTCGCTTGCCCCTCCCACGTTTTCTGATGGCCACAGAGAAGAAACCTGAGCACCCTGGGATAGTGGAAGGTGTCCCTGCCCATGATAGGGGTTTGGAACGAGATGACCTTTAAGGTCCCTTTCAAGCCAAAGCATTCCATGATTCTGTGATTCCGTGAACTCCCACCCCACCTTTGAGCCCCCTCCTTTCTCCCCAGCAAAGCTAAAGCTGGCTCCCCAGTAATCTTCCCAATAATTATATAATAGAGAGGCAGGCAGATAAATCATTTCAGGCCACTGTGCCGATAGAAAGCAAGCTGGATTAAAAGATCAGAACAAGCAATACTTAGATTAAAATGGTTTGTTATTTTCAGCTGCGGGGAAAAAAAAAATCTGTGGCTAAAGCACGGAAGACGCCAAGCAAAGGCGCATCATCTTCTTTCCCCCCCGCAAAACCCAACATTTTTACGTATTAGCTAAGAGAAGTTCTAAGTTTCCAACCTCAAATCAGGTTTTGCTTCCCAATAAGTAAAAAAAAAAAACCACTTTGCCAGTTCATATCACATTTTAGCGAAAGATTAAGAGATGCTTCAATTTGTGTTTTGCCCACATGAAGCCATCAGAGCCCTTAAATCAGGAGAACCTATGCATGGCTTGGCAAATAACGTCACTGCCTACGAAAAATGTGGCTCCTGGCGTGATGGGCACCAACCCCTTTGCCTTGTCCCATGCCTCCCCACACCCTTGAGCGGATGGCAGGCGGATGCCAGGCTTACCGGCGGTGCAGAGGTGGCAGTGGCAGCTGGGAGAAGCCCATCAGACAGTAGGACGGCTCTCTACAGGGACCTATATGTTGTCCCCCTGGCCCCCAGCAAGGTCAGCAGCCTGGGGTGCTATGCTCTGACTGATGGCTTTGGAAAGGCGTGAAGGGGAGGCAGGAACAAAAGGGGGAGAGAGGGAGATGGTGCTGGGGGCCGAGCTCTCTGCAGGGCATGGCGCTCATCAGCCCAGTTTGGATCGATGGGTGATTCACCTTCAAGTTCAGATTGAGCAGAAGGGTCAAACTGGGAAATGGTTTGGCACTGGTGGGTACGTCCCTACAGCCTCATGTCACAGCTGTTTGCCTTGCTGGAATGGGCAATTACCACCCCACAGCATCTCCAGAATCAGCATTCCCACCTGAGCACATTGCTAACATCTTCCAGCATCAGCAGTGACCACTCATCCCATCACCTGGATGGGAGATGGAGCAGCAGTTTTTTCAGTGTAAAGTCCCAGAATATCCTGAGTTGGACGGGATCCACAAGGATCATCGAGTCCAACTCCTGGCCCTGCACAGGACAATGCCCACAATCCCACCTTGTACTCTTCCAGGTGTTTCTCCCAGCTGTAGTTTTGCTATAAACACATCACGGTACCACACACACAGAGCATCAGCCTTGAGTTACGACGATGGAATCCCATGGAGCAAGAGGTCCAAGACACAGCCTTGGGGAGGGCTTGGACAGAGACAGGCACCAGGCTCCTCTCCCTCCTGTGGATGTGGGAGAGGGGCTGGGACACACACCTGGGAGAAGGAATGGGATGGTGGTCAGGGAGCATGAGAAGGCAGAAAAATTATGTCAGAGGCCTTACCAGAGGGAGATGGGAGCTGTGAGATGTGATGCCCACCAAAATTTCGCCTTATATTGCAGGAAAGTGTATTCACTAAAGCCAGAGAATAAAACACACTTACTGGACAGGTGATGGCAGAAACCTCAGACCAGACACCACCAGTACCCACCACATCACCAGACACCATGGATAAACCTCCTCACAGTTTTTTTTTGCAAGTTGTCTACTTGCTGCACCTGCAGCTCTGCTGGGAAACCTCCATCCCCCTATCCAAAACACACCCTTGTGTTGCAGCTGCAGGCTGTCTGCTCTGGCCAGTCTCTCCCAATGTTTTCTGTGCAGAAAACAGGGATAAGTGACACTCATAAAAGGAATGGGAGAAAAGAGAAATGGGTTTCTCCGTCACTACATTTCTGCTTTATGAAGCTGTCTTCTCCCTCAGAGACACGCATCCTCCCCTCCACTAATGGAAATATTGCCCTACCATCCATTCGTGCCAGTCAATGCCTGGGACAACACGATGCCCTAAAGCCACTCCTGATCTATTTTAGTCACAAAAGCAGAGTGGCTGATGAAAATCACCCCGTCTCTGCACTTCCCAGCTTAGCTCTTTCTCTGGTTTTAATGGAATGACCAGCGCAGTGGAAAGCAGGCAGCGAGGGCGGAGAGACGGCAAGTTGAGAGACCTGCACAGATGCAGGAGAGAGGCCCCAGCACCCTCCCTGCAGGTGCTCTACAGCCTGAGGGACCTGCAAAGATCCCTCCTCCCAAGATTTGCCCAGAGAAGCTATTGCTGCCCCATCCCTGGAAGTGTTCTGGGCCAGGTTGCACGGGGCCTGTGTAAAGTGTCCCCGTGGAACAAGATGAGCTCTAAGGCCCCTTCCAATCAGAGCCATTCTGGGATTGTATGACTTGGAAAGGACCTTACCTTACCCTACAGGATGGCCTTGAGCTCCAGAGTGATTCCTGGGAAGGTCTGGCTGCACCAGAAAAGGGCATGCTGAGCGTGGGGGAGAACTCAGCAGTCCACGGCACAAGCCTGCAGACCAGGACACGGCAGAGGTTAAGGCATGGCACAGAGAAAAGACCAAAGCTGCTTAATGTGAACTTCAGAGAGAAGTAAAGCACAGACTGGGTTGGGGGTCGGGGGAGAATGATCAAGAGCATCACCTCCAGGTTGTGTTTGGGTAGGCAAGCAGAATTTTTTTTTTTCCTACACTGCAAACAGGTTTGGGCAGATCCTCAGCATCCACCAACCACGGGAAATCATCCTGTGGAGGAGGAGATCCCTGGAATACCAGAAAGTCTCCACGGTGATCACAGACCAGCAGTCCTCCTTTGTGGTCACCTGCCTGTGGTCATGCCCAGCTGTGGAGCCAGAGGCCTGCTTCCTGCAGAAATCCAGCAGTGGTGGAAAAGATCCAGCACGTTCCAGCACCATGGGTTCTGGGTGCCAGCTGGATTTTTGCTGCTGCTCCCAGTAATTAACTGGGGCATGCACTAACCGTCAATACAATCAATGGAGCAGCCTCAGCCACTAATAAACTGAGTGCCAGAGGGCTGGAAAACCTCTCCACTGCCCAGAATATTCCCTGGGCAGCAGGGTGAGTGGGCAGCAGACCCCTTGCTTGAATTTGGTCCTGCTCTTAGTGTGATGGGGCACCTCATCTGTTAACAGGGAAAAACTTTCTCTTCCCGGTGGCTCAGCAACCTCCATGCTTATCCCCAGTGACCTGGGCACTTCCCTGCCATGGGAAGGAGCCTGCCAGTATGAGGGGAGCCCATGGGACCTCCTGAGGTCAGTCTTCAGCCCTGCTGATGCTCACAGCAGCATCAGCACTAAGGTCAGAGTAGGTTGCCCAGGGCTTTATCCCTTTGGGGCTGAAAACCTCCAAGGATGGAGCATACACAGCCTCTCTCAGCAACCAGCTGTCCTCAGAATCTATGTTTTTTCGCTCAATAATTCTCTGCATGTCCTCCAAGGTAGCGGCTACATCCCCAGCCGATGTCACCTGCAAGCAGCACAGGTGCCAGGATGGACTCTGAGGGATTTCCCTGCTCTCCACTGAGCCTACACCAGCCAGATAAATTCTTAATCCCAGTAACTGCTGCAATCGCAACATCCAGTCCCAGGGGCTCTGGCCAAAGATAAAAGCTTGGAAGGGATGGAAATCTCAAACTGTGACTCACCCGCAGGGTCAGGGCGGGATCCCGTGGAGCTGGTGGTCAGCAGTGCAGGAGGCAGGGAAGGATCTGGAAGACAGCACATGTCACCACCCTGAGGAGCCCAGGCAGCCCCCCCACCTGGAATCCACAGAGCATCCTCCCAGCCCTGCTGCTGTGGCCAAGGGCAACACAGGAAACAGGGAAGCCCAGGGCCAAATGAGAGGAGTCCCTGGTAATTGTTTTATTCAAATCAGTACCAATTGCTGGTCACTGATTCCGGGATTGATAATAAGAAGGGAAAATCCTCATCACGGCATCAGTCTCATCAACATACCCATGAAAAGGGAGCTCAGGCAAGGATTTAGGGATGCTGGAAGGACAACGGGTTGCAAGGAAACCCCAATCCCTCTTCCCAGAGCCAGTGTGGGCACAAATCATCAACCCACATCCCATAAATTCATGGGGGAATTCATCTTCCAGGTCCTAGGTTTGAGTTTATCCCAAGGCAAGGCTTAGCATCCAGCGAACACAGCATTAAGGAATTTTTTAGCAGTTTTCTTTATCATAAATGAGTCCATCTTTCAACAGCTCAGCTCCTTGTTATGTCCCACCCCTTCAACACACCAAGCTGCAGGTGAGACCCCAGCCATGACCCTGTGCTCCTGTAGCAGGCACCAGTGCACACGCAGGAGGTGTTCCCTGCCATCAGGGTGAGGGTCACCTCCAGGCATACAGGAGGTTTGGTGCTGTGCTGGAACAACCTCAGTTCCAGCACAGGCAAGAGTGAACCTCAAGCAGGAGATTCTGCTGGGCACAGCCATCCAGCACCTGCCACATAGCACCACAGTGGCTCCTTCCTCACCACTGACCAGTCCAAGGTACTCAGGAATGGTCTTAAAAGGTATCATGAGATGGATAAGCAACATTTGGGCTGCTGGGGGACTATCACCCTTGTCATCATCTCCCAGATCCTCTCTCCAGCATGGCTTAAGGCCGTGCACCTTGTGGCTGCCCTGACAGTAAAAGCAAAGGAACGAATTTGAATTTTTTTTCCTGGTTGCTCTCTCCAGTGAAGCATGCACTGCCAGGAGAGGCACCAGTAGGCTTCTCCCACCAAAAACTTTCAACCTCCTGACCCATGGCAGTGGAGAGCACGGCTCCATCCCTGCATGGCCAGCTCACCTGCTAGCTCTCATGGAGTATGTTCTGTCAGGAAATTTGGTCAGGAATGTTCAAAAGGATCACTCAGGATACTGAAGGAGTAATTTCTGAACAGCAGAGTGCCTAAATCCCAGCAAAATCCCACCTACTGCTCTCACATAAAAGCACCTGAGGATGCAAGGAATTCCAATGCACCGATGTGACGAATCCCAAAAATCAGCCCCTGGAGACTACAGCATTTCACTGCCCTTAACTCATCCCAGTGAGCCCACAGGGACCCAGGGGCTGGGCAGCATCTGCAGCCTGATGGCCCTACCTGCACTGGAGCCCTCGGCCACCCCATTCCAGGGGGCCCAAAATTTAGTCTGGGATGGGAATGGAGGAAACACAAGCACATGGACAAATCTGGGGCCATCAGCAGAATGCCAAGGGGAAGGAGCTGAGGGTGGCTCTCTGCTCATGCCCAGCTTCCAAGGTGAACTGGTGGTCCTTCCATGTGGGGGCAGCTCCTGTGCCTGGTCCCACAGGGCTGTGAAAACTCCCTGCTTTTGCCAGGCCGGTGCTATCCTACCGGCCATAATACCACATCCCTTACTCCACACCACTCCCCTTTCCCAAAAATACCAAAGCCTGCTGCAACACCCATCCTGCCTCTGCTGCAAACTCAGGACTTCAGCTTCTCCTCACTGGTAAGTCCATGGCTTTTTGTGACCATCAGGAACCTTCCTTGGGATGCTTGGGACCATGGGGCACACGTGTGAGGTCAAAGCTCTGCAGAGAGTGTGCAGAGCTTGGAGAGGTCCTATAGCCTTGCTGTGACCCTCCAGGGAAAATTCAAGGTCTTTTGGAAGACATGCTGTGAAGTGGTGAAGGAGGGATGGGATGGGGATGGGAATGGCTGGGATGGGATGAATGGGATGGGATGGGATGGGATGGGATGGATGGAATGGGATGAGACAGGATATGATGGGATGAGATGGATGGGATGAGGCAGGATAGGATGGGATGGAATGAGATGGGAATGGGGATGGGATGGGGATGGGATGGGGATGTTCTCCCACCATACCACCAGACCCTGATCCATAGTACACCCCAAAGACAGGAATACCAGTGAGATGGCTCCACCTGCACTGACCCCCAGGCTGCCAGCCCCCTGTGTGCTGGAGGGAACTCCACTTCCCTCCTCTGGGGATGCAGCAGCCCCCACATTGCCAGGCTCCACTTCGCTCTGGGGTTCTGGGCACCATCGCTCCCTGCGCAGGGAGAGAGCCATCCTCCCCTGCCCTGTGTTCCCATAATCCGCCTGCCTGGGTGTTCCATGCAGACAGATGCAATGATTTTGATGTCCCAGTGAACAAGCTGTCGGGATGCATCAGCCTCAAAGGGCAGCCTTCAGAGCTGCCTTCTCCTCCCATGCGCTGCCTGGGTGAGGAAAACCGATTCCAGCTTCGCGTGCGTGCGCACGCACACACACACACACACACACACACACACACGGTGTCACCAGTGCCTGAGATCTTCCAGCCTTTTAACTAAAAATCCTTGCAAACCCTATCCACAAGGAAGGGGAGGCAGCGAGCCTGGGGCGGGGGTCGGAGGGGAGGTGCCACTCAGCTGGCAGAGGGGCAGCCCCACGGGCAGAGCCCCGTGACGTGATGGAACCTGAGCGCTGCAGAGCCGTCAGGAGCCTGGGCAGAGATGAGCTGAGAAATGCCATGAGCAGAGCTGACATTAGCCCCCTGGCTGGGTACCTAATGAGCGGAGACACTGTCCATTTGTGGAGATGAGGAAAAGTTAAAAGATTTCCAAGCTGACACCTGGCAGCCTCCATCGGTGTTCCTGACCACACAGCAGGGGAAGGAGAACAGCGGTCACCCCCGGCTCCGCAGGGGTGGGTGAGCTGGATGGCCACGGGGTTGACATCTCAGCAGCTCATCCACACTGCCCAAATCTCCCCTGCTTGTGTTTTTTTGCCACCTTAAAAGAGAAACTGGTGCTTTGTGGGAGCTGGGGGGGGAGGTCTGGCAGGGTCCCATGCGGCCCCATACCCCAGGAAAAGGCAGCAGCATGGCAGGGAGAACATTCCTGGGTCTAGCAGCACACCAGACCTGCTCTAGGCTGGGATCTGGGCACAGGCAAAGGCTCCTTGTGTCCTGTGGTCTCCACATCCCAGGAGCAGGATGGCACTCAGCAATGCCTCAGCCCCCGACATCACCCAGCAGCCCCCCCACGCTTCCACAAACCTAGTTCTGTCAGTCCCTATAAATCCAGCCTTCCCTAACCCCACCCGTCACAATCCCTTCCCTAACTCACCTTCAGCCTCTTCCCAACCCACCACCTTCCACTGGTGACAAGACAGGAGTGATGGAGCAGGAAAAGGGAGAGCCCTGTATCACTCCTATTGCCTCCCAGCTCTCTCCTCAGGAAAACCTGGGTCTAAGTTTTTAAAACTTTTTTTTTTTTTTTTAAAGAGCCAGCAAACAGCCCCATTCCCCCCCAGATCCCACAGTGAAATGCTCTTCTCCCCACCTGCCTGCCTGCTTTCCTAAAGGCCAAGTGGATTTACAGAGAAAACACCTCCCTGCAAGTATCCTGGCTGAAAAGGGAGATCTTGGAGCATCCTCAAGGCTTTTCACCGGCCTAAAAAGCAGCTTAAAAACACTGACATTACTTCACATGGTTTTCACCACCTCCAGCAGCAAACAGTCTCAGGTCTAAACCCCATTACAAGCATGACTTTCACCTTCCTGGCTCCAGGGATTTTTGCTCCTTTCCAACAAATATAGCCAGAAATGCCCAAAAGAAGGGTGCAACCCTTTCCCTGGGATGCCTGGGAGTGCAAACAGCAGCTGGGTTCAGGCTGCTCCTCCCTGGCACCCGCTGACCTGCTGGGCTTGAGCAGATGGAGCAGCCACAAATCCCCCTGTAAGCCAGGGAAGGAACTAATCTCCTAGAGGACAAACTGGTTGGCAAGAGGGGGAAGCTCAACGTTCCACCTTTTCCTCCTTCCTCTGGCAAACCCAGCAGCACCCACCATACCCAGAGGGATCACAGCACTCCCGAGGGCAGAAGAGGCACCAGGAGTTTGGGTACCTGGTGGAGACCTAAACTGGGGACAGAAGACATTCAGGTGACAGCAAGCTAAGCCTTACCTGCCCCGTGCAGAGAGGCACAGCAGCTGGTGTCTCTGTGTGGAAAACCACATCTGGTGAGCTCTTAAAACTTCCAAAATGCTCTCCAGACATGACGGGCTGAGGCTTCTTTCAGACTGAGAGGTCCTTGGTGGGTGTGGAAAGCTGGAGGAGCAGCCACTGGGATGAGGTGGATTACCCACAGTGGAATCCCTGGTCCTTCCTCACTGTTGGAGGAGGATTAAGTCCACTGGAGAGGATTAATCCAGGTTCACAGTATGGGATCTGAAGAGCCAAACGCTCTCTCCAAAACACAGATATCCCCAGAAGGACTGGGAATGACAACATGCTGATGTCAAAGCCCCACAGCAGATCCCAGCATGGACATCACCCCCAGCCATGCTCCCCCCATGCCTTTCAGAAAGGTGTTTCTGCCCCAAAGACCCCAAACCACAAGTCAGCCCAAGGACATACAGCCTGGTCCTGCTCCCAGGGCCATCCACCAGCACCAACGCTCTCCAGCTCATTTTCCTTCTGCTCCAGAGGCCATGGAAAGTGAGAAGGTCAGCAAATTTCATGCCACTCTTCATTCTTCTGGGTTATGTTTTTGTATCCTCTCCTCTTTTCTTTCTTGTGCCCCCTCTTCCCTTCCCTAAGGGCTGGAAAACTTCTGTGTGCTCACAAGGGACAAATGACTTGCCAGATATTGCCAGCCCTACTCAGGACAAGGCGGGAGAGCTGATGAGGACAGGCACAAGAGCTCTCAGAAACGCTTGGAAGGAGGAGGCTGCAGCCCAGGGAGAGGATGGAAAAGGCACAGGCTGGGATGTGTGGCATCGGGATCTGGATTGCACCCTGCACCTCTGATGGAGGATCATGAATGGCCAGCAGAACCTGGGGAAGCCCTGATGAGGTGTGACACCCACAAGTGTGTCACAGCATCAGTGCCACCTCTCTGGTTGCCACTGTACATCCAAAGGAATGGCCTGGGACAGACGGTGTGCCATTGGTGTGTCCCTGGGGATCACGGTCACTCAAGCTATGCAGTCAAAACAGGCAATTTCAAGTCCCCCATTAACCCATCCCCATGTCCTGGACAGGAGATTTGTGGAAAATCCCAGCATTTCCTTGAGGGAACCCCAGAAAAACCTGTTTTCCAGGTAGGGAAACTGAGTCACAGAGGAAACCACCATGGACAGGCCTGCCTGTCCCATGGAGCCACAATGTCCCAGGGAAGGGCTTCATTTCCCAGATACCCTGGGCTCACGTTGTCATGCCCTGCCTTCATGGTATCAGTCTAATAAAAGCCTTTAAATAGGGAATTGTTTCTATATTTTAAGGAAAGTTTAGAGGCACAGAGTGAGTGAGCATCTCTGGAGGTCTCTGGCCCAGCTCCCACCCCAAGCAGAGTCACTCCAGAGATGGATTAGGCTGCCTGGTACGAAATTACTCCACCCTGAAACCTCAAAACTTTTTCCAAGCCCTCCATTTATTTTCTGCCTGCACACAATGAGATGTTCCCTGGATGCCCTCAGCCACCGCCATTGCCAAAAGGCCTCATTTTTGTCCTTTTCAGAGCACACTGAAAGGTAGCAGGGACCTCACCACAGATCATCACCTGGATAAAAGGAGACCACTGCATGGTGGTGCCCACAGTGGTGACGTCCCCATATCCATGGTTGTGACCCCGTGCCCAGAGCAGTGTCCAGCCTGGAATGGCCACCAGCCTGCGTGACCTGTGCCAGGGGGAACATGCCACCATCGCCCCAAGGGTCCCCTGGACAGCACCAGGCCTGGGGTGGGGCTGTTCCAGCCTCCTCACCTCCGGAGTGGGTTGTAGGCGCAGCACAACCTGGAGGCACATCTGGCAGTGTTGGAAGGGTGGTGCTGCAGCAGGATGGGTGGCTCCTTCCCTGCGGAAAAAAGGGATGAGAGTCAGTTACGGAGCAAAAGCATCCTCCAAACAATGTGCCCCCCACAGCAGGTCCCCATCCTGACGACACCCACACAAGCGTTTGAACCCATGCCAAAGATGTCACCACCACAATTCTCTCAGGACAAGCAAGTCCTAGATGCAGCTTTTCCCAGCCCAGCTGAGCAGAGTCCTATAAGGCATGATCAGAGGCCTCTGGGGCACTTGGATTTTCAGGAAATCATCACCTTGTGCTGGGAAAGTAGGGACAAGAGGGTTTGCTCCTCGGTGGCAGGGATGCATGAGTCATCCTCCAGCCTGATGCCCTTGAAACACAGCCAAAAAAGCTTTTACCCAAAGTAGCCAGCAATAGGATACCAGAGCTGGAGCTCCAGGATTAACCCTTTCCTGGCAGAAGCTGGCTGGCTGCCCTGCCATGCGGATCCTTTCTCCTCCTCTGCTCAGTGCTGAGTTTTCCCACTGTGTGCACCAGGTGCCAACACTGCCTTGGCAAGGGCAGGAAGGGGGACATGCCATGAGACCCCTATGATGGGTTGCTGCCACGACCAAATGGGGTTGGAAACACAGGCCCAGCCCCCCAAATGGGGAAATGTCTTTTCTCTTCCACATGTCCCACCACAAAGCCTGCCCAGCAAACAGGACAATGCTTGGGGTCCACCAAAGCGAAAACAGAACTCAAAAAAATAAGGTGGAAAATCTAAAGCTCTTTATTTCCACTGCTTTGGAGGGAAGGCTCTTGACTCCTGCACTCCCAAGTCCTTGTTTCATTTAGGAACCCACCAAATATCCATAGCTCTGATGGGATCCTCATTGCTTGCCAAGACTTGATGAGCCTTCCCCAGAATAGGGGGAACTAGCCTCCTGGAGAATCCCATATTCCCTCCTTGACAGAAAAGAGCCCCTTGGGGACAAGTGGGAATTACTGTGTTAAAAGGAGGTTTTCCTGCCTGCAGGCAGGCAGAGAGATGCCAGCACCCAGCTTTCCTGCCAGCCTGATGACAATGGACCTATTCCTGCAGTGTGGAAAGGTGGGAGCTTCAAATCATGGCCATGGCAGTGGGCACGAGCATCACTGAGCTGGGACAGGGCAAGAAGATGGAGGATGATGCTCCTTCCCCAGGGCTGGGAATGAAGGGTCCACCAGGAGTGGCTGCTGCACTGCAGCCTTGCTGTACAGGGCCCCAAAACATGCCCAGCCTCTCCTGGGGCCATCAGAAAGAGAAGGGAAATGTGCTGGGGGTTACATTGGTACCCACTAACCTGGGCTGGAGTCTCCTGCCACAGCCCCATGGACCCGAGCATAGCTCAACCCACCCCAGCAGTCTGGCAGTGTTTTGGTATCTTTTATTTTGGTATTCCTTTACTGCCCAGGGCATTTAAAGCCAGTTCAGACAGGGATTTCCCTCTCAAATTCTCCCACAGGCCGCTACGCAAATGCTCCTTGAAAGCATGGATTAGGTCACAGAGATTTTGAGTGGCTTCTTCACCTTCCCCAGGGTTCTTCATCCTGTTTGCTTCCTTACAGTCTGCAGCGGGGGCTGCTGACCATCCCCTCAACCCTGGGGGATCCCTGTGCCCCTGCCAGCCCACCCCAGACCCTGGGCGCAGTGTCCTGTGTCTCCCACCAGGACCACCCGCTCCCTTGTACTGCATCCCTCACGATGCACTGACGCTCTCGGCTCTCCCAAGGATGGGCAGCATGAACTGCCCAGGCCTGGAAAGCCTGGAAAACCCGATCTGTGCCACAGCAGTGGGCATTCCCCCACACCCCCAGCACCAGGGGCACCACGGCCCCGAGCTGCACGATCTGCCCTGACTGCCTGCAGGACTGGGGGGAATCCCTGCAGTGACTCCCAGGGAGCCATGCAGCATGGGGTAGGGATCTCTGCAGTGCAGCGCGTGCCGGAGGATGCTGCACTGGCCAGGCTGCTGCACGGACCCCTCCCCAGAATGGGTCTCACCCAGACACCAGGAGGATCTGCTGAAAGGAGATGGGCAATAAACACTGCCCCAGGAGCCAGAGCTGAATAAACTGACTCCTCCTGAGCCCGCTCCATGTGATGAGAGGTGGTGGCTCCAGTGGGGAGTAACCCAGCACAGAGCTCCCACTGCTCCCCCGAGGTCCCTCAAGGCACATGCTGAGGACTCAGCTCAGTGACCAAGTGGGTGACAGCCCTGCCTGTGGCAGGGGGTTAAAATTAGATGGTCTCTAAGGTCCTTTCCAACCCAAATAATTCTGTGATTCTATGATGATTCTGACTTCGGAGGAAGAACAGTAAAGTCCTGCCTGGAGAAATGGGTTCCCAGGAGATATCTACCCAGCTACAGGGGAAGTTTTGAGGCCTGGGACCCCTTTTCTCCCCCCAGTACTGATGCTGAGGCTGCATTTGCACCACTTGGTGACCACCACACCTGGAGCACGGGTTCATAAGTGACCACCAGCCTGACACTTGTGAAATGTCATGGGTGCTGGCACCCAAAAACCAGCAGCCAGGGCTCAGAAACACACCGTGGGACCTCGGGATATTCCCAGCCGAAGTCACGCAGCATCTCCGCCGTCACCCAACCCTATGCACTCTTCTCGCTGCACTAGCAAGTCAGGGCGGGGTCGGAAAGCCGTTCCCCTTGGGGACCCCCACTTATCCCCAAGCGGAGACAGCAGTTTGGGATTGTTTCAGCAGAGCCCGGGAGCCTCCCAAGGTTGGGAGCCAGGGACCGAAAACTCCCAGCAGCCTGGCAGAGCCGCCCAGCCGGGAAGGTGGGAGCACACGGGGGCACCTCCTGCGGACGGGGGGGACACGGGGACAGGGTCGGTGGGTGCACGCCCTCCGCCCCCCGGAGTGAGAGTGCACCGGGAGCCGCCTAGCCCCGGTGCTGCCGCCAGCACACCCATCGGCGTCCCCGCACGGGGACCCTCCTTCCCCGCTCCAGGTCCTGGGCCCCCCACGCCCAGAACACAGCCCTCAGAGAAGGCAAAGTCCTACCTGTGTCCGGACGGACGGACCGAGGCTCGGCTGGGGCAGGGCGGGGGAGCGGCAGGGCTGACTCAGGGGCGGCGGCAGCCAGAGCGGAGCGGGAGCGCCCAGCCCTGCCCGCCACCCGCCCGGCTCTGCCCAGCCCCCCGACTTCCTGCCCCTGCCCCGTCCCTTCCCGTCCCAGACCCAGTCCCTGCCCCGTTCCTGTCTCTAAACCTGCTCCTCCCCCGCCCCAACTCCTCCTCTAACCCCTGCTCCTGCCCCAGCCCCTCCACCGCCCTCTCCCTAGTTCAGCCCCTGTATCTGCTCCCTGCCGAAACTCCTGCTCTTCCCCCTACTCAGTCTCTACTCCTGCCCCCGCCCCGTCATTGCCCTCTCCCTAATACAGCCCCTGCCCCTAAACTGGCTCCTCCTGTCCCAGCCCCTGCTTTTCCCCCTACTCAGTCCCTACTCCTTCCCCCGCCTTTCACTGTCCTCGCTCTTCTGCAGCCCCTGCTCCTGTCCCTAAACCAGCTCTGACCTAGCCAGTCCCTGCCGCTGCCCTGTGGTGGCTGGGGGCAGTCCCAGGTGACACCGCCCACGGTGACTCTGCCCCAGCGTGACTCTGCCGCAGGATGCTGGCATTGCCCGGGTGCTCAGCACCGCCCAGGACCCACAGCCTGCGGAGCTCCTGCACCCGGACCCGGCTGCGTTTAAGGGAGGCACCTAACCCTGCCGTCAGGGATGGACAGACAGGTCCCACCTGCCCGCAGGAGGGACAGGGTGGAGACAGGGAGCTGGCGGACACGTCTGCCTGTAGGGCTGGAAGCCTCTGAGTTGGAATATCCAGGGCTGCCTGGACCTTACAGGCTGGCTTGGGTGGGACGGGGGTGTGTGTGTGTGTGACAGTCCCCAGACGTCTGGGATCCTGCTGCCGCACTTCCAGGCGGGAAGATATAAATATTTCAGCGGAATAGCCGAGCCCTGTCAGCTTGCATTTGCTTCTGGCAGGGTGAGCGCTGGGAAAGCGGGAGGAAAGGCGGGGAGAGAAGATGCCCTCGCAAGATTCGCTCGGAAGATGCGTCATCTCTCGGGAGATGGGGCACCAGCTCCGAGGCCCGATTCTCGGGGGGCTCCACCTCCTCTAGAGATCCTCTTCCCTCCGGGAGAAGTGCACGGCCGTGCTTCAGCCCTACCAGGTCCTGAAGGCCGGACTCACCCCATAAGCAACTCTCGGGGGTTGCTGCCAGGCTGGGCGAGGGGATGAGAAGTTTCGGGAGCTCTGCTTGGAGCACAGCGGGGAACTCCTCGGGACCCTCTGGGATACGGCGCAGCGCAGACTGGAACAAATCCACCCCCAAGAAACAAACGGAGTGCAGAAATAAATCCAAGCAGCCATGGGTACCATAAATCAGCGGAGGAAGGGGCGGCAGGGTCCCGCAGGGCCCGCAGCCCAGAGGCCACGGCAGACGCGAAAGGAGCTGACCCCGGCTGAGGGCAATGGAAAAGGGAGTCCTTCACGCCCTGCCGATGCTTTCGGAAGGGGATTTGTCCCTACATGTGACACAGGTGCCGGCGCAGCTCTGTCCCGGCGTGGCCGGGCTCTTCCTTTTCCTCCTCCTCCCCTTCCTCCCTCCCACTGCACTCTGGGGTTTGTAGTCCTCCCCCCGTTACGCGGAGCGAGACTACATTTCCCGAAGTACTCCCACACCCTCCTCCTCCTCCTGCTCCTCCTCGTCCTGCTGCCGCTGCCGCTGTCCCGGGCTCGCCGCCGATCGGGCTCGGGTGGCAGCGGGGAGCCCCGGATCCCCGCCTTGCCCCGGCCCGCAGTGCCCATGCCCGCCGCCCACCAGGTACGGGGTGCGGGAGTCGCCGGGCCGGTGACGTGCCCGGTGGGGGTCCTTGGGATGCCGACAGTGTTGTTTCCCCCGGGTGCTGAGGCTGTGTGCCGGTGCTGTGTTGTTTACCCCCGCCTCTGTTTCAGGGTGAGCAGGTGCCGCGTACCCCCAAAACCCTCCTCTGCCAAGTGCACCCCTCGCCACCCCGCAGCGCCCATCCCTTGGTGCTGGGCGGTGGGAGGCAGAGAGGTGCCCCTGCGGTGGCGGAGGGTGCACTTTCAGGAGCTTCCCAGCCCTTGTTTTACCGAAGATAGCCCAAGGATTCGCGCTCCCCATTCGGCGTGGCAGCTCCGCACGTGGTGCCTTGGCAGTGTCGCCTGTATGTCACCGACACGCGGCTGGGCGGAGGGCATCACGCCGACGACCCCCAGGTCTGTCCCCTCTGCACCATGGTGGCCGTGGCTCTGCGGGGAGCTGAGCCTGAGCTCAGCCGCCCTGTCACCTGTGACCCCGGGCTGACAGCGGTGCGTGGCGTGACAGTGATCCGTGTCAAGGTCACACCCAGATAACTCGGTGATAAACAGGTTCACACGGTGATAACGGACCGGCTCTGCTCCCTCTCCCTCCCTCTCTCTTCTCCTTCTTCCTCTTCCCTTCACTCCCTGGCTTGCACCAGGAACGAAGGATGGAGCATTCCCTGGGACTTGTGCCCACTCACCTCGAGCAGAGGAGCTCCATGGATGTTCTGGAGAAGGGGGATTGGGTGCGGCCGGATGGGTTCTGGTCTGGAGTCCCTTAGTGTGTGGGGACACACATGCTAGGAGTTAGGAGCCAGTGCTCCTGGGAATGGAGCAGCTTCATGGAGCTGCGTCCTGGATTTAGTGTGGGAGGTTTTCTGTGGGCCGGCGATGCATGTGTGTATCCCTCCTGGATGGACAGGGCAGGAATGGGGAGCAGACGGTGGCAAACATTCCGTAGGGGTTGGGGTGCACGTGGCGGCAAGCAGCTGCTGCAGGTGACATCCATAGCCCAGCCTGGGGACAAGAAAGCGATGGAGCAGAGTCCAGGCGCTCGCAGCTGGCAGTGGCCCTGGCACGGTGCTGGGGTGGGTGTTTGGCGGGGGCTAGCCCTTGCTCCTTGCCCCTTACTCTTCCTGCCACAGCAGGGGCCGGTGCTCCCGTCAGTGCTGGACAGGCTCTCTGGGCAGCGAGTGAGTGAGCACCTGTTTTGATCCTCAGGGATTTGTTTAGGAGGTAGGGACTGTTTGTCCAGCAGTGAGCTCTGGCACATGAGTGTTTTGGTGACACTCAGGCACCAGTGCTGAAATCCCATGGGAATTCTGGAGCGGTGGGTCCTCACTGGGACAAATGGACACTTGGCTTACTGTAGATTTAGGTCACCACCAGCTTTCCTCAGCCACCATCGGTGCTGGCTCATGTGCCTGTTTATCCTGTGTCATCTTGCGGGGGTGGGGGGGGGGGGGGGAAAATTATCCCCTAATTTCACTATGCAGGATCCAGTGGGACACAGACTGGGACCATGAACTTACTTTTTAATGACTGTGTTTACTTGTTCTGTGGTTATCAGGGTAATCAGGTTTCTAAACCTTGCTCCCGTGGCGTATATTGGCATACAAGGAATCATGTGGCATGAAAAGTCACCTTGGTGACTTCTTGTGGGAGTGGGAAGTGCTGGGAGGACACCAGTCCAGGCCTTCTCCTGTCCCTGCTCTCATCCCATGACCACTAATTAGGTCTCCTGGCGCTGCCAGATTTCCTGCAGCCAAACCTCAGGATCTGAGCTTTTAATCCCCCTCTGGACCATGAATCTCGTAGCATTTTGCATTCTCCCCAGGCTGGGCATTGTGTCCCAGAGCCCAGAGTTTTTGGGAAGAACCAAGGGGCAGCTGCTTGCCTGTGGCTCAGCTGAAGTCCTGCCAGCCACCCCGCTACTGAATAACACGGGTGGCCCCATGCCTGGTGTACACATTAACTCATTTCCACAGCCAGCACATTCCTGTGCCATCCCCTCTGGAGCACCCCCAGTGCAGGGCGTCTGCATCCCTCTGCCTCTGCAGCTCAAAGGGAAGTGTTGCTCCAGGAAGCAGCAAAACCCCACCGCGTCTTAAAGGGGAGGAAAAGGAGGTGATGGGAGCTGAGGATGCCACACTGTGGATCCAGATGCTCCATGCATCCAGGCTCCGGATGCACGTGATGTATGAATGCCGCCCGAAATGATCCCCCCCTGCTTCTGCACAGCAAGATGCATAGCTGTTTTTCTTCTTCCCAGAACATCTCCTGGGGAGAAGGTAGTGGTATTTATTTGCCTTGCGATTCTGGAGGAATTTTGAGCCTGTGCCAAATGCTGCTTTTTCCGCAGAAACCGCAGCGTCCTGGTTTTCCATGCGTCCGAGAGCGCCTGTGGACAGAGAGGGGCTGTGTGGTCCAGCAGAGCCTATTAGTATAGCTAATGGCTCCCAGGATAATGCCGCTGTCCTGCTGCAGAGCCGTCCCCAAGAATGATGGCGCCAAAAAGCCGGCACCGGAGATGGTACCAGACCAGCGCTGGAAGGTGCAAGTCTGCTACCTCTGCTTCTATGGCTTCATGACACAGATCCGGCCCGGGGAGAGCTTCATCACCCCCTATCTCCTGGGGGCAGACAAGAACTTCACAAAGGCAGAGGTGAGCTGTGGGCATCGGGTCCCCCACCCTGGTGTCCCCATTCATGGCCATGGTCACCATCCTGGGGCTGTCCAGAGCGTCCCTCAGTGCTTCTGGGGTGCACAGGGGTGTCGTGTCCTGGGCATGGCAGCATGTGGTGACTCGCGGTGGTGCTTTCCGGGCAGGGGAGGTGGTGTATTGTGGGGCCTTGTCTCACTTGTCTGTGAGGTCACCCTGTCCCCTGAGTCCCAGGCTCAACTTGCATAAAACCTCATGCCCAGGCTGCCAACTAATTTTGGCAGTGTGTGACCCCTGCCCGCCTTATCTGCCTGTGGGAGGGTGCTGGGTTGGGAGAAGTCATGCCCCATCCCACTGGGAAGACTTTTCCATGATGGCAGAGTGCACTGCCAGGCCGCTGGCAACGATGGGGTTAGACAGGGAGGGGCCACAATATCATCGATCCCAGCTGGCTGCTGCGCCTGTGGGAACGCTGCATTCCTGGCACAGGAAGGGGCCGAGGCTCAGCCAGACCCCCAGCCGAGCATGCTGCTGGTCACATTCCTCCCTGAGGAAGTGCTGCCATGGGGGTCAGCAGCCAGTGCCCATACCATCTGCAGGTTGGGGGGCATCCCCAGGGATGTGCCTAGCGCTCAGCCCCTCCTTGCCCTCACGGCAGGTGACCAATGTGATCACGCCGGTGCTGTCCTACTCCTACATGGCCGTGCTGGTGCCCATCTTCCTGCTGACAGACTACCTGCGCTACAAGCCTGTGCTGGTGCTGCAGAGCCTGAGCCACATCTCCATCTGGCTGCTGCTGGTGCTGGGCACTTCTGTCCTGGCCATGCAGCTGATGGAGTTCTTCTACGGCATCACCATGGCTGCCCGCATTGCCTACTCTTCCTACATCTTCTCCCTGGTCGCCCCGTCCCGCTACCAGCGGATGGCCAGTTATTCCCGCTCCGCTGTGCTCCTGGGGGTTTTCACCAGCTCCGTGTTGGGCCAGCTCTGCGTCACCTTGGGTGGTGTCTCCTTCCTCACCCTCAACTACGTCTCCTTGGGCTTCGTCAGCTTTGGCCTCATCCTCACCGTCTTTCTCGAGCGGCCGCGGCGCAGCCTCTTCTTCAACCGGCCCGGGGAGGCCGGTGACGCTGCTGTGCCCACTGAGCTGGACAGGATGGCCGGGGGGGACAGCAGGGGGCAGGCACGGGGCTGGCGGGACATGGTGCTGTGCCGTATGCTGCGGGAGCTGGGAGCGCTGGCCAGACAGCCCCAGCTCCGTCTCTGGTCCCTGTGGTGGGTCTTTAACTCAGCTGGGTACTACCTGATGCTGTACTACGCTCACATCCTCTGGAACGAGATCTCTCCCACCACGGACAACCGCCGGGTGTACAATGGAGGCGTGGATGCTGCCTCCACGCTGCTAGGTAAGTCGCCTGGGATGGGGACACTGGGGGTGTGGGGGGACACACATCCTGCTGCCTCCTGGGAATGGCTGGGGACACCAGAGGCAGGGGGTCACTGCTGTCCTGCTGCACCCCTTGGGAATGGTGGTCCTTACGGTATTTTTGGTGGTCTGGCATTGGGGATGACGTGATGGTCACCGGGCTGGGTCCCAGCCTCGGTAGGGCAGGGGATCCTTGAGGTGCTCACAGCATCCTTCATCCCTCCCCAGGAGCTGTCGCCTCCTTTGCTGCTGGCTACGTCAAGATCCGCTGGACGCTGTGGTCAGAGCTGGTGATTGGAGTGGTTACGGCATTCCAGGCAGGATTACTCCTGCTTATGAACTACACCACCAACATCTGGCTGTGCTATGCTGCCTACATCCTCTTCCGTGGCTCCCACCAGTTCCTGGTGCCCATTGCCATGTGCGTGGTGCTCCCGGGGACCCACTCCTACCCCGGCAGCCAGGTTGATGCCAGGGGTTCACCAGTGCTCCCATTTTTCCCAGTTTCCAGATTGCTACCTCTCTCTCCAAAGAGCTCTGTGCTCTGGTCTTCGGGGTCAACACCTTCTTTGCCACAGTGCTGAAGACCATCATCACCATCATCGTGGCTGACAAGAGGGGCTTGGGTTTATCCGTGCATCCCCAGGTAGGGCTGGGGTCACACCTAGGATGGAGGTGGTCCCTGAATGGTGTGGGATGAAGGGAGGGCTCAAAAATGCTGTTCTCCCCTCTCTCCTCTTTTGCAGTTTTATGTATATTTTGGCTACTTCACCCTGCTGGCCATGGTCTACCTGCTGGCGGCCATCAGAGTGGGTGTACAGCACAGCCACCGCAGGCAGCCGGTGGAGCTGGCCCTGGCCAAGGAGCCATGCCAGCTCCCAGTGGAAATTCCAGCACAGGAGAAAAGCCCGGAGGCGAGCACCGTGCAAGCCTGAGCACTGGCACCGCGACACTGTGGCCGGCTCTTGGCTCCCGAAGTGAGCATTGTCTTCGCCACCGTGTGCTTGGTGTCCTGTCCCACTCCTGGTTCTGGGTGCTATTCTGCATGGATGTAACCGTTGGGACATGTTTTCTGCTCTGTGAGGACAGGGCTGTGCCCCTTCCCTGTCCCTACACACAGAGTTGGGGCAGGATTCCCATGCTGCCACTGCCGTGTGTCACACAGGGGTATGGATGGGGACCCATCCCGCTGCATCCCCATCATGGCATGGAGCCAGGCTACAGGAGGATGTTTCTTTATTCAGTGCCTTTAGAAAATGGTTTATAGGACACAATTGATGACAAAAAAATAATATAAAGATCCACACGCTTTAAATTGCATTAATTACACAAAATACAGTAGACTGTAAGAAATAGAGACCGTGTGACTCGCACAGCTTTTATGGTAATAATTTCCATACAATAACAAAAAAAGCTACTTACAAATTTCTCTTTTTTCTTTCCTTTTTTTTTTTTTTTTGGTAATTTTTTAGCACCTTGAATTTGCCCCCACCAATTCCAGCCAGCTTTGCTGTGCCTTTGCCATCCAAGCCCAGCAAAGGTGACATGGGGAGGGGGGCATGGCAGTGCCTGCCCTCAGTACCACACATGCTCAACACACACGCACACAGAGAAACACGTGCCAGGGCACAGCTGGCCACGTCTTGGGGCCACCCTGTCACCCCAGTACCTGTGCTGGGCTGGCTGTAGCTGTACCTGGGCTGTGGGGCCACAGCCGGGGGTCCCCAGGGTGCATGGATGGGATGGGGGAGACCAGACTCCCACCAGAGCTCTGCTGGCTGGGAGGTGGAGGTGAGAATGGTGATGGGATGGTCCTTACCTGGGCAGGACGGAGACCATCTGGGAGAGCCCCAGCATCACCACAGGAGAGTCCCTTGGGTGGGATGCTGGTGTCTTGGCTGGAGAAGACCCTGTGGCCTCAGCAGCAGGGATTTGGGTCCAACCCCAAGCTCCTGGTGAGGACAGGGCAGGGCCAGGGGGCTGGTGAGAGAGGCCCCACAGGCTTTTGCGGGCAACAGCCCTCATGGCAGCACTGAAATCTCCCTGCCGAGCATCCTCCCACCCAGTCATCCCAAGAAGAGCATCCGAGCAGGGAGGGGAACAAGCTGAAGTGGTTAAATATTAGGAGTTAGAAGAGGAGGAAGAGGAAGGCCACCAGCCCATGGCTGCCCTGCCCCGGGTGGGACCTGAGCCCCTGCCAACCCAGGGCAGGGGCCATGGCAATACTCTTTGGCTTCAGGTCTGCAGGAGAAAGAAACCCTGCGGGGCGAGAATGGGCGTGTGGAGGGGGCTGAGGGGCCCAGGGGCGGTGGGGTGCAGGCTTGCCCAACCCTCCCCAGGGACATGGGGGTACTCGGGGGTGCCAGGGCAGGTATCACTTTTTGGTGGCAGTCATGAAGCTGTTCTCAATGCAGAGGACGACAAAGGCGTGCTGGCAGCTGCTGGCTGCCTGCTCCAGCAGTTTTCCAGAGGCCAAGGAGGAAGCCTGGCCGGTGACTGCACGCTCCTCTGTCCGCCATGTCTCACAGTAGCTCTCGGGCAGGCGCCGACCCTTGGCATCCGAGCCATGCCAGACACTCTTCTGTGGCCTGGAAGGGTGAAAGGTGGGGGGCTGCTGCTGCCCTGCCATGCTCCAAACCCCATTTCCCCATCACTCAGTCCTGCACTCACCATCCCGCATCCCGCAGGACATCCCGGCCATCAAAGGAGAGGATGCGGGCGCCGGTTCTCAGCGGGGCCCCGCTGCCCGTGAAAAGGGCTTCCCAGTTATTGAAGAGCACTTCATCCTGTAGGAAAGGTGGGAAAATGGAGGAGGTGGGGGTTTAGCCCTGCCTGCACCCCAAGAGCAGCCCAGAAGCTCCAAGCCCCAGCAGCCTCTGGGAAGGGGATGCTTCATGATGGATGAGGGCTTTGCTATCCTCTGCATCTCAGACCTTGGTGGTGCTGGCTTAATAGTTGAACTTGCTGATCTTAAAGAGATCTTTTCCAACCGTAATGACTCTGTGATCCTATTCTGTGATCCATCAGAGCTCAGAGAGTGTTGAGAAGGGGATGGGGACATGCATACCCGGAGGTTGACAATGGGGACGGTGGCACGGTCAGCCCTGCGCACGATGCTGTAGAGATCCTGCAGGCGCGAGGACAGGAAGGCGCGGAAGGTGCCAGCCAGCCCAACCTGACGGGCTTGCTGGAAGCACTGGAAATCGGCGCCCCGGATGCCGCGCATGCCACCGCTCAGCGGGGTGTTCAGGGCCACCAGGTGCAGCTGCCAAGAGGGGACAATGGGGCTTGAGGGACCCGGCTTTGGCCACCACCATCGGCTCCCCTCAGCTGGCACGTGGCACTCACAGCAGGCTGGAAGTCCTGGTGCACATGGGCGGCCACAGGGGCAGGATCTGGCCGGCGGTGGATGTAGTACCCATTGATGAGCTCGTGCTGGTGGTGGAGCAGGGGCTGCTCGGGCAGGCGGTGCTGGTTGGCCACCACCTCATCCCCACGCCAGGGACGGGCAGTGGCTGAGGGGACGTGGTTGCGGAGTGGGTGCAGGGGCCCGCGGGGCTGGGGGCCAGCGTAGTGGAGAGTGGGTGGCTTGTCATACACCTCGTTGTCCTGGGGAGGGGGACACAGTATGAGGCGGGGTGTGGTGCCCCAGGTGGGGATGGGGATGGAGATGGTTGGATGAAGATAGGCATGGAGATGGTTGGGGTTGGATGGAGATGAGGGATGGGAATGGAGATGGTTGGAGATGGGGATTGATATGGTTGGGGATGAATGGAGAAGGGGATGAAGTTGATTGTTGATGGATAGAGATGGTTGTGGATGGGATGAGGATAGATGAGGATGGAGGATAGGGATGGGATTGGGAAGGAGGATAGGGATGAGGATGTGCACGGGAAACAGAGGACTCACCAGAGCCGAACTGGGGATCAGGTTGTGCTCCTCCAGCTGCAAGGGCATGGCACATCAGATCCCAGCTGCCCCCCTCTCCTCTTCCTCGCGCACGGGTGGGGGGACCCCAAGCATCACCAAGAGTCACCACCAAGCCCCTGGGGCAGTGCTGTCTGCACTCCCCTCAAGCCGGGCAGTGCAGCCCTGGCCGGGGTGCCCCTCTGTCCCCCCCACTCACCAGCACCCTGCGGAGGCCCCCACGCAGGCGGACGTAGAGTTCCTGCCGGTCCGTCAGGAAGACGAGGCTGCCCTCGGGCAGCTCGTGTGCAGCACTCAGCATCGCCTGGTACGTGGGCATGGCCTGGAGCTGTGGGCACAGGCCGGGGCACGGCTCAGGGATCGGCTGCCTGCACCATGGGCAACCCCTGCCCAGAGTCCTGACTTACCCCCAAGGACATCCCATTGGTGCCTGGTGGTCCAGGGGGTCCTGGTGGTCCTGGGGGTCCAGGGATGCTGACAGCTGTGGGGGAAAGAGGGTGAGATGGAGAGAGTGCAGCACAGGGAGGAATGCAGAGCTGCAAGGAGGGATGCATGGGATACAAGCAGGAATGCTGGGGGTGGCAGGGCAGAATGCAGTAGAGCAGGTACTCACCTTGTCTGTGGGGACCTGGGAAGGAGGGTGGCCCAGGCGGACCAGGAGGGCCAGGGGGGCCCTGCCGCCCCTCGTATCCGATACCAGGGGGACCCTGAGGTCCTGGAGGCCCCGGTGGCCCAACAATACTGTCCCCCTTGGGACCCTAGGCAGTGTGAGAGAACATGTGCTGGAGCAAAGCCCCCAGGGATGCCACCCCCCACTGCGCCCCCCTCCACTTCCCACCCTGTGAGATACTCACTGGCAGCCCGGGGTATCCCTGGGGCCCTGGAGGCCCTGGAAGTCCAGAGACTCCGGGACTGTAGAGTGGGGTGCTGCCTGGCTCGCCCTTCTCACCCTTGGGACCTGCATCCCCCTTGTCACCCTGTGGGATGGCACAGCCTTAGGGTGAGCACTTGGGATGCACTGGGTACCCCAAGTGACACTGGGTTCCAGCTGCCAGTGTGCAGAGCGCTTACCCGCAGGCTGGTACCAAAGTGACTCACATCATAGGGGAACTGGCCTGTAGAGAGAGCGAGAGGAGGGAAAAGGAGCCAGGATGGGCACGAGCCACCCCCTGCCTGCCTCTGCAAGCAGAGACCAGTCACCTACCTGGGGGTCCTGGGGGTCCAGTGTCACCTTTCTCTCCCTTTTGTCCTGAGAACTGGTGGAAACCTGTGGGGAGCAGCAGAGATGCCATCTCAGAGCTGCAGCTCTGAGGGAGAAAGGGGGTTTCCCCCCAGCCCTGCTTTGCTGAGGTTCCCCAAAATGCCCAGAGGGGGCTGGGAGAGGGACACACACTTACCAGGGAACCCCGGGTGGCTGGAGTCACTGAAGGTCTGTGGAGATGCAAAGGAAGTGGCTGCAGAGACAGCAGCATCCTTGGGGACCCCCCCCCAATTCTGGTGACAGTCCCACATGCCAGCCCCAGCCAGGATGTCACCAGAGCATTCTCAGTGCCCTCTGGGCAGGCAGGGGACACTGGGGGCCCAGTCACCAGCATGTCCAACACAGTGACTGTGGTGATACTCACATTACCATTGTTGTAGACTATGCTGCCAGGTGGCCCAGGGGGCCCAGGGGGTCCTGGGGGGCCTGGGGGACCCTGTGAGGGGCAAGAAGATTTGTCAAAAAGTGGACAGTCCCCACCACGGAGGGGGACAACCAGCCCCTGAGAGAAGGAGACACGCCCTTTGCCTAAGGGAATGGGGTCCTTGGGGAGACCCTCGGAGTGTGTGCCCCGCCCTGCAGGGCCAGCAGCTGGGGGGTCACAGCAGTGCTCACCCGCAAGCCCAGCGCGTCTGCAGGATCACCCTTCTCGCCCTTCAGCCCGTTCATGCCAGGACGTCCCTGCGGATGGGCAGCACAGTGAGTCTCATCCCCATCCCCCTGCCAGCCCCTGGTGTCACATCTGGTGCTCCAGAGTCACCTCCGACACGCCAGCATCGCCCCATCCCTCGGGGACACGGCAGGGTGCGGGACTCAGTGGGTGCAGGACGTGCAAACAGGGAGGGGGACGCGGTGGAGGCGATGGACACAAACAAACCGGGAGCAGGTCTTACGGGTCTGCCTGGAAAGCCGATCTCTCCCTTCATCCCTGCTCGTCCTGGAGGACCCTGGAAGGGAGAGAAGACGAGGGTGAGGAATGCTCAGTATGGGGGCACCCCTTCTGCCTAGGATCATTCCCATCCCTCCCTGCGGGACAGAAGGAGGAGGATGGTGATGGTGACTTACCGATGGTCCCATGGGGCCCTGCAGCCCTGGCTCCCCCTGCAAACAATGGAGAGGAAAAGGGCATCACCACTGGGACCACCTGGCACCTGTCCCATGGGGATGCCCCCTATTCCTGCCAGGAACCCACCTTTTCTCCTTTCACCTTGGCAGTGACCACAGTCCCATCGGGGCTGATGATGACGCCGGGCTCCCCCTTCTCCCCCTGCAAGAGAAGAGGAGGTGGGAGGGGACACGGTGGGACCAGGTTCCCTTCCATGACAGAGCTGGTGTCACCTGGTGGCCAGGTAGAATGGGGGACCAGGAATGTGACCACTCCATGGGGTGCAGGTGGCCTGGAGCAATTACCTTCAACCCTGGGGCACCCTGGGGACCAGTTGACCCCTGGTCTCCTTTTGGTCCCACTGAACCCTGCAGAAAGGACACAGAGTCCATGTCATTTGCAACCCACCAAAGGCAGGCCCCAAACTCTCCCCCCATCACCACCACTCTGCAGCAAAGCACAGCAGGACCAGGGCCACCCCATGGTCCCCAGATGTGTCACCAACTCACCGGGAAGCCAGCGCGGCCTGGTCTGCCCTGCAGAGAGAAGCAGAGATGCTCCTAAGAGCAAACCCCCTCTTTCCAAAAACAGGGTGCCCTCCTGGCACTACTGAGGGGTGGGCGCAGGTGGCAGGAGGGCACCTACCTCTGGACCAGGAAAAGCCATCAAGGACTTCTGCAAAAAGAGACAAAATGAGGTTTTTCCCCCTGATCTTGACTCTGAGGGTCAGAGCTGCTGGTGAGGTCTCCCTCGTGATGGCTGCTGGAATACCCCTTCCCCTGCCCTGTGCTGAAGCCAGGTGCCACCACTTACATCTTCACTGGAGACACTGATAACCTGTCCAGGGGGACCAGGTGGGCCAGGGGGGCCAGGTAGCCCCACTCCATCTTGGCCTCGCTCTCCCTGGAAAACACAAGCCATCAGCCCAGGGCCACCAGTGGCTGGTCCCCCTCCCCAGCCTGGTGGCACCTACCTTCTCACCGGTGCTGCCTTTGTCACCTTTGGGTCCCTGGAAAGAAGAGCAGGAGGGAGTGAGCATCAAATGGAGAGGGACTCTGGCTCACCAGTGCAGACCCCCTCCCACCTCTGGCTCAAAAAATCCTTCAGGCAACACCACCTTTGCCTCCAGCTCCAGGCAATGAGCCAAGCTGCAATGCTTTTGGGTGGAGGTGGTGGCCAGTGGGGCAACAAGATGAGGGGCACAGGATCCTGGGGGGTGTTGGCACCCCTGACATGCGATGAGCTGGGTCCCACAGCAGGGAGGGGGAAATTTGGCTGCTGGGGATGGAGGTGCTGCAATCAAGGATGCCCTGCGTGGAGTGGGGGGGCTCGTCTGGAGCTGGGAGGCTGAGGCTCCTACCTGTGGTCCAGGGAAGCCCTCCAGGCCAGGGCGGCCATCCATGCCAGGAATGCCAGCATCTCCCTGCAATGGGAGTGGGAAAGGGCAGGATGCAGTCCCAGGTCCTGGAGCACAGGGTCCTGCCCACTGCCCTGCATGCCCAGGTGCTGGCACAAAGCCATCCCAATCTCCCAGTGCTCCTACCTTTGGTCCCGGCAAGCCAGGCTCTCCGGGGCTGCCGACCTCTCCCTGCAAGGAAAGAGGTGTCAGAGGCATCCCTACAGGCTGCCTGCAGGCATCCTACACGGATGGAGCCAGGAGCATGTTGGAAGGGTTCCTCACCTTCACCCCCGGCAGTCCCGGCACACCCTGCAAGCAACAAGGGGACCATGAGCACTGGGTGATGGCCAGGGACACGATGGCCGGGAACACCCCAGGGAGCCCAGGGTGGAGAGGAGGGAGAGGGCAGGAACGGCCTTACCTGTGGTCCTTCAGGCCCTGGTGGTCCAGGGGTAAATGACAGCCCCGAGCCCTCCATGTCATCCTAAATGCAGGGAGAAGGGGCTGAGATGTGTCTGTCCCCGGCTCCAGCTCATCCCATCCTATCCCATCATTGCAGTGACCACTCACAAATCCAGCCTCGTAGCCCAGCCCCGGTGGTCCCGGGGGGCCGGGGGGCCCTGGCTGCCCTCGGGGTCCGATGGGCCCGGGAAGGCCAGCTAAGCCCATTTCTCCTGGGGGTCCTGCTGGTCCCATTTCTCCTTTGTTGCCCTGCAAAGGAGACAAGCAGGGGACAGATGGAAGGTGGCAGTGGTCACTGCCTGGAGCCTGCAAGCAGGAGGCAGAGCATCCCCTCACAAATCCCCTCTGGGACAGGATATAGATGATCTCCCTGATGTTCCCTTGTCTAGCAGCTTTGTGGGAGGGGGCATTGCCCAGCTTGGGCACCCTTCATCCCACCAGCTCCCCATGTAATGTCCACAGTGGCCACCAGAGGCTCGAATAAAATCATAAAATGGGAATATCTTGCACGTGGGGCTGGCTCCAGTGCTGCAGCAGAGCTCAGTGCCATAAAGGAATGCTCACAGGCATTCCTGGGATTGCAATGGGTCTGGAAGCAACAGGCTTGGACCTTACACCTGCTGCCACCCCATCTGCCCTCTGGGTGCTGCAGAAGTGCAGAAAGTTAGAATTAGGTTAAGAAACCCTAATTTTTGAGATTTTTGCCCCCAGCTCAGGCTGCAATGGATGGTCATCACAAGGGGCAGCATCACAACGGTAAGGGGCTCTCAGCAAGCCTTTACTTCCACCTTTGGGGATGCAGGGTGGAAAGAAGCTGGAGTAAGCAGGCAGGAGAGAGTGATGCACAGAAGATGGGGTGTTTTCCAGGGGGGTGTGGCCCCCCCCCCAAGCAAAGTCTCCTCTGTGTCTTGAAACACCCCTCCCTTGGTTTTCCTGCCCACTTCCTGAAGTGGCAGTGTCTGGAGCAAAGCCAAGGCAGGGTGGCAGGAGCCCAGTGAGCATCCTTTGTGGGGTCAGCAGTTCCATGCACCTTTGAGATGTGGCCCTGATCTGGGAGGAACACAAATAGCAGCACCCCCCTCCCCATTCCTGGGCAAGATGGCTCCCCTAGGTAACATCCCTGCCTCCAGTCTGCAATGGAGAACCCAAAAAACCCCACCCCAGGCACAGTACCTTGGGTCCTGGTAGGCCAGGGAGGCCAAGGTCACCCATATCGCCCTGGGAAGGAGCAGGGAGAAGAGGGTGTGAAGAAGCTGCCCAGCTCCAGGCAGGAGCAGAACAGTGCACCCCAGCCCAGGAACTGAGGCCTCCCAGAGATGTGCCAGGGTTGCCAGCTGCTCTGTGAGACAGCTGTGACAAGCTCCTGGGGCACATGGGACAGGGCCAACCTGCTACTCACCTGCTCTCCTTTGGGCCCCGGCTGCCCAGCCTCCCCATCTCTTCCTGGAGGACCCTGAGGACCCTGTAAGATCCCAGAGTTGGTTCCAGCACAGGAAAACCCCATAGGGCTGGTGGGCACCGAGCCCCTCACCGCCACAGAGTGGCCCTGGAATGGGTCTCCCTGGCCACCCCACAGACCTACCATTGGCCCGGGGATCCCGTCCCTGCCCGGGAGCCCAGGTGGTCCCGGCAGGTCTGTGCGGTTCATCCCAAACCGTCCTGGCTCCCCTGGCAAACCGGGCACGCCAGGTGGCCCTGGGGGACCAGGTGGCCCTTGTGGACCCTAGAAGAGATGTGGGGGACCATGGCTGAGGGTGTCCCCCTACTCCCAGCTGGCAAGACAAGCACTCAGCCCCACTCACCCGCAGGCTCTCCAGGTCACCAGCGAAGCCAGAGCCCTCCATGTCGATGAAGGTCTGGGGGCGAAGCACAAGGGGGATGTCAGGGTGGCAGCACTCCACACCTCTATGGCTTGATGGACCCCCCATCCCTCAAATCCCTGTGTCCCAGGTGGCACCCACCAGCTTGTCGTTCTTGGAGGAGGGTCCCGGTGGTCCCGGAGGGCCAGGTGGTCCAGGGGGTCCCCTCGGCCCCACACCTGGGTCACCCTGGCACAGAGGAGAGAGTGTGGTTTGCAGGTGCAGCTGAGCTGGGGATGAGAGGAAGGGGGGCAACACTGGCACTCACCTTCTCCCCCTTCAGGCCCGGCTCCCCCGGCATCCCAGGGAACCCTGGGGGCCCCATTTCACCCTGCAAAGGGGAGCAGTGGGGGGTCAGCAGGTGGCAAGGCAAGGGGGTGGCCGTCCCCCATCACCCTGCCACCCCTTCCACCCCACTTACGGGCTTGCCGTCCTCTCCAGGATCTCCCTAGGGATGGCAGAGAGGGGACATGTCAGTGCGCAGGTGGGTAGGGTAGGGGGAGAGGCACACCCTGTAGGGAGGGAATTGACTCACAGGCTCGCCATCCCTGCCAGGGGCTCCGTCCTTCCCTGGTGTCCCTGGAGGGCCAGTGACCTGCTCCACCAACGAGCCATCAGCATGCCGAGAGAGGGTCCCGGGCAGTCCAGGGTCACCTGGTTCTCCTTTTTGGCCCTTAGAGCCAGGATAGCCAAATCCAGCACTGCCCTGGGGAGGGGAGGGAGATGGGAATGGGTGGCAGGTCTCTGAGCTGGCAGCCTGGGTAGGGCATGGCTCTGTGCCAGCTCCCCCAGTGATGCTCACCTTGACACCCAGGTCTCCTTTCTCCCCCTGAGGATCAGAAACAGAGAGAAGTGTGTGTCAAACACAGACATGTCACTAGCACCCTCGAGCCCCCAGGGACTAGCTCTCACCCACCTTTTGACCCTTGACACTGCCTGGCCCTACAATGCCACTGGTCCCTGAGTCCCCTTTCAAGCCACGTTCCCCCTTCTCCCCCTTTTCGCCTTTCCGACCGGCGCCTGTGGAAAAGGAAAAGGACCCACTCGGGGCTGGGGATGGCCACACCATCACCATATCCCCACTTGTGCACCCTGGGGAAGGGGAAAGCTGCTGGAATTACCTCCCATGGAGACCCGCAGCGTCTCCTCCGCTCTGGTCCTCTCGGCTTGCTGCGGGGATCCCCCGCCACTCCTCGGGCCACTGCCCCCCACCACAGGGGGGGAGGTCACGGGGACAGCATCCAGCAGCCCTGGGACACCCTGCGCCAACAACAAGGGGACACCATGACACCGTTCACCTCCCAGTGCCTTCCCATAAGGGACAGGTGCTGGGACACCATCAAGCATCCCATGACCTCAGCCATGCAAGGCACTCAGCCCTCCTCATCATGGGAATTTTGGGGTCCTGCCCTAAGTGCAACACCTGCAGGCAGCAACTCACCTCAACCTTGCCTGAGGGCTGCTGTCCACCTTCCATCCCACTGCCAAAATCCCCAGAGACCTGCATTTGTCCGTGGAGAAGGGGTGAGAGCTGAGCTGGGAGCACAGTGGGGGCACCCCCGAGCTCTCCGCAGTTGCACTGCCAGTGCTCACCTCTGCGTCATCCTCCTCTTCCTCGCACTGGCGCTCGGCTGCCCGAGGGTCCCCTCGGAGCTTCAAATCTGCAATCACCCCCTGCAAGGAGACCGCGGATGGGTTGGGGACACGGACAAGCCACCCAGCTGTGATGTGACCTGCTGTGCCACTCGGCCACCACGTCCTCGAGTGGAACTCGAGTAGGAGAAAAAGGATGGATGAGATCTGCTCTCTGCACTGCAGCTGGAAGAGGTCACCACCCAAATGGGGGCATTTGCTTATGATATAATTTTTTAATTATGTATAAACTATGTATTTATAATATATTTATTATGTAACTTAATCTAATTATAATTCATTAATATTATATCACAGTCAGCCTGGCTGAACTGCAACTGCCCCAATCCCTATTTTCCTAAGTCCATCACATTTCCTTGCCCGGACATGGCACCCTGTGCTTTCAGGCCAGCACAAATATTATTTTAGTTGTCTTGCCCAAAGAAGAGACATTAAAGGGGGAGGTATCTCCTCTCTCAGAGTTCACTTCCCAGCATGGTCCCCTTCTCCTCCCCACTGGGATCAGACGGATGGGCAGCATCCCAACTTGGCAGACTCCCATCCCAACAGCATCCCAGTGTACCACCCTGCAGCAAGGACCCAGGCTGTGCTCTGGGATGTGCTGGGTGACCCCGCTTGCAGTGGAAGCTATGGGGTTCAGGCTGGTACCCATATCAGCTCTCCTGCTGAGGCCAGGATGCTACAGAGGTTTGCCTGGAGACAGCATCCTTAGGAAGGGATTTGTGGTGGTTTCTTGTATAAACAAGTGGCCTGGATGCAGACGGTGCTTGCAAAACACAAATAAATAGTAAGGAAGTGCAGATTATCCCAGGAAATACAACATGTGGGCTGCAGAACCTGCCAGCTGTCCTTGCGTGGGGCAGGGCAGTCAGCTGTGGCCAGCAAGCCCTCAGGAGAGGAAAAACAAGGAGCACAGCCAAATGATGCCTGTAAAAGCTCTGCTGGGTGTCTGGCCGGGTCCTGGCTGCTACCTCTGCTCAGCCCATGTGATGCCAGCTCTGGCACATGGCTTGTCCAGCCATGCTGATGGTGCTGAGCAGTTACTGCAAGGTTGAAACAAGCCAGTTCCAAGCCCTGAAGTGAGGCAGTCCCACTCCTGGACTGATGATGGTGATAGGGGACCTTTGCAGTCTCTTTGCTCTGATAAAGAGAGCAGCAGCACCTAAGATCTTACAGTGAATCCACAGAATCATGGAATCATTAAGGCTGGAAAAGCCCTCTAGGACCATCAAGCCCAACCATTAACCCAGCACTGCCAGATCCCCCACTAAACCATGTCCCCAAGTGCCACATCCAGCTGCAAACAAACCCTCCTGCCATGCCCTAGCTGAGACTCCATCTGCCCCCTTGAGAGCTGCTCTCCTGGGGGCTTCTGCATCACCTGCAGGCTTTGCCCCTCCAGGTTTCCTGCCATGGCCACAAAGACGACTCAGGAAGGAGCAGAAGTGCCAGGACACCCCTCCAGCTGCCTCCCAGCAAGTTTGTCTTGAGGCTTTACCCAGGGCCAGGCTCTAATCCACTTGATGCCCCGTTAGTTCCAGATAACACGAGGCAGGGCTGGACAGTGATGGAAACACCACGAGGCAGTCAGATGCTGCTCCCCTCTCACCCAGCCAAGGCCTCTTTCCCTCCTCAGCCAGCTATTCCCCACGGGAAAACCGGGGGCGGGCAGTGGGTTCAGGGGTTGGCAAGCCTGGGAGCATCACCTGCTAAAAGGATCTGCTCTGCTCCAGGCTGTTGCCATGCCTTCCATACGGTGCCAAACCCCTCGAGCCAGTGAGAGGAGCTCCTCCACAGCCATGACCTGCACAGGTCCTCACAGCACGTTCAAGAGCAAAGAAATTGCTCTTCAAGAGCAAAGAGTTGCTCTCCAAGGGAGCAACCAGAATCTCAGGCAAACCAGTTTGTAGCCCATCAATGATTAACCCCTTCCTGGGGGAGCTTTCCCTGCCCAAAGCCATTCCCTGCCCAAAGCCATTCCAGGGGGAATGTGGCAGTACAGTCAGGATGGTATTTAAGCTCAGAAATGTGCTTTGCAGAACTCCACAGGAAAAACATTGCTCCCCTCAGCAGAGCCTCTATTGCTGGGCAAATCCCACTCAGCCCCGGATAAACCTGAACATTCCTCTCCTCAGGTCCTGCAGGGGATTTCCATGTCAGCTGGGCATTTTCCCCACAATTTCCACAACCCTTATCTGGAATACGAGTCCTGCTCAAAGCATGGGCTGAGCTATCACATCCTTCCTCACTCTCCAAAGTCTTTCTGGAGATACCGCCCAACATCAGCCAGCAAAGATATGCTCCAGTCCAAGCATTTTTTCCATGTAAGAGAGACATTTTCCCAGACAAACCAACTTCTCTATCAAAGGAGCTAGGTATTTTTAGGACTGGGAAGATTTGAAGAGGCTCCATGTGTTTGCTGGGAAAAGGCAATAGTAGGAGCTGCATGGCAACCCCATGTCCTCCTGCCAGCCCAGCTTGAGAGCTTAGCCTTGGTGAGCCCCAAGACAATAAATCAGTGGCATCTCAAGCCACCTTCACCTCCATCTCAGGTGTCCACTTCCCCAGGGACACACACAGAGTTGGTTGTCTTCTGGGCATGGGCAGCATCACAACTCTCCGGGCTTCTGGGAGATACTCCTTGGGGTGACCCAAGCTCTTACCTGGTATTTATCCGGGTCAGCCCCTCCAGCCTGAGCAACAAAGAGCCCGGAGCCCTCTTCCAACTCCATCTCATCCGGGGAGCGCTCGAAGCGGACACGCTCGTGCTCCTCACAGTCCAGGTAGAGGACAACTTCCTCCTCCTCCACGCTGATGGCGAAGCGCGTCCACTGGTTGAGCAGAGTGGGCACGGTGAAGGTGGCAGCTGGGTAGGAGCTGGGCGAGCCCGGCTCCGTGTAGTAGAAGATGATCTGCTGCTGGCCCGCACGCAGCTCTGAGAGCTTGACGCCCACGTAGATGATGCTTTGCGAGGAGTCCGTGACAGCAAAGAGCACGCCGGCCCGGGGCGTGGTGGGCTGGATGTGGAAGAGCAGCGAGAAGTCCCGGTAGAAGGGGCTTGGCAGGTGGTACCGGGCCACCTGGCCCGTGTTGGCGTTGGGACCAAAGACGTAGCCAGGGTTGTTGTCGGGGCCATAAATTCTGTGGATCTCCTCCGTTGGTGGGTCCCCAATCAGCTCCAGCAGACTGATCTCAGCACTCAGGCTCTCTGCAAGGAGGAAGGACAGGGAATGGTCTCAGGTCCAGACAAGGATGGTCACTCAGCAAGGACACGCCTGCCTGTGCCTCCCAAATACACTGTCCTTCAGTGGCTCCCTCCACTCACCCGCCCCAAGATTTGTGTGTTGGCCAAGGCAGTGAATGATGTAGTGAGCTGCCCCACTACATCATTCAGATACGTCTCCCAAAATGCTCCCCATTCCCAGTGCTGGCCCCCCAACCACAGCTGGGATATCACAGAATCATAGCATGGCTTGGATGGGAAGAGACCTTAAAGACCATCTCATTCCAATCCCCCTGCCATGAGCACGGACACAATCCACTAGACCAGGTTGCTCAGATTCCCTGAGATGGGATAAAACCAAAGGGGTCTTGCCCATGGTAGGGAGATGCTGCTGGAGCACCAGGATGCTGATCCACCATGGAGCCCCGGGGAAGTGTGTTGCATCCATACTCGTTCCGGGATCACAGTGACCCCTCGCGTCATCCCAGGACAAGATCCAATGGTCACTCCAGCTGGGAATAAATCAGAGCCATCCCCTCGCAACACCCTGGGAACGCAGCTCAAGCCAGCTCAGCTTCCCAGATGCTCTCAATTTGGAGGTCGCCTCCTTTCCCAACTCCTATTGAGAATTAGGGAATTGGGGAAGTTCTGCTGGAGACAGCCTCTCCTACCCAGCGCAGCTGAACATCTGGTGAGGGTGAGCCAGCACTGTGTCCGCCAGCTCCCGTTGTTCTGGCAGCCAGCACATCCTCATCGCCCACACACCGGGCGCTGGATTCCTCCTCTCCTATGTCAACCACTTGGGGCCAGTGCCAGCTCCAAAGGAGAGGCTTTTTAACCTCTCCTTTCCTGGGAGGGAGGAAACCCAACCACCCCGGCTACAAAAATGCTGAAGGATCTGCAATGGGAATGGATGCTCAGTGATGAGTTTCGACCCCATCCTGTGCCAGGAGCAGGAGCTGACACAATTCAGTGTCCCCAGTTCCATCCCTGATTTTCATGTGAGCAATGGGGAGTGGGGGAAATCAGAGGTGTATCCTGAGGTAAATCTCCTTCCCAGTCTTCCACCAGTTCTAGCCCCTTCCTCTGCCCTGCACTGGGATCAGGCTTCCCCATGGGGCACCCCCAGTCTGCTTAGAGGAGAACCTCTGGATCCTGGAGTCCAGCACCCTTTCACTCCCAGATGTGCACAGCCCTACACCAAATCTGATGGGGTGAGTGAGCAGGGGTCTCCCAGATTCTCAGCCTGTCATCCACCCTTGAGTCACCCCATGCTCAGCACCTCACAAGCTCATTCCAACTGCACATGCCAGGATGCAGGGACTGCATTTATCTGGGGTTGGAGGAAGCCAAATTTATGGCAGTTTTAAGGAAAAAGGAAACCAGAGCTTCCTCCCGGGCGTCCACATGGATGTAAGAGCCGTGCTGCAATTCCTGCAGCCAGGCAAGTCATTGTATCCCCCCCAGGGCTTAGGATGATGGGACACGCTGAATGAGGCTTTTATTAGCAGGGTAATTTGCAACCATTCACCCCTTGGAGCTGCAGCCGGCTCTGGGAGTCTCCCTCCTCCTCAAACATGCCACTCGCGCTCGAGTCCGGGGTGGGAGCTGGGTGCTAGCACTTCCCAAAGCAAATGAACTTTTTTCCTGCGTGACAGAAGCTGGATGGGGACTGGGGAGCAGAGGGGTAAGGGGAGACCCCTTCAAATGTCTGCTCCCCTACAAAAGCCAAGTGCCCCTTCTCATTCCCAGAGCTTTCAGGCCACACGTGCTTTTTCCAAAGGGCATCCAGAACCCAAATATCGCAGCCCATCATCCCTATGGCAAACTGGGGATGCACCAGGGAACATGGAGAGATGGTGGGGGCTGTAGTGAGTTTTGTGCTGGCACGGGATGGCTGTGGGGATGTCTCTGGGCACAGTGATTCTGCCATTGAAAACGTCCCCAGGATGCTCCAAGCCACCTTCCCACTCTGCCATGACCTTCCTGGCTGGCCTGAGCCCAGGGTGCCAGGTGGTATTCAGGGGACCACCAGCACACAGCAGCACATCAAGTCACTCCATGGGGTGCACCACAGCACCCACATTCCCCACTCATTCCTGACACTGCCCATCCAAGCTACCACAGTGCAGTCCCAGATGGGAATGCACCTCCTCTGCAAGCATCCCCATGATCCCAGTGCATCCCCCCCCCCGAACAGAGCCTCTTTGACACTGAAGGGACCGTGTGTGCGACCCTGGTTTGCCAGCCCCCAGTCTCGGCATTCCTCCTTGGCATCTCCCGGCCATCCCCCGAGGGCTCAGGGGTCAGCACGGGAACACAGCCTCATTCAGAGGCTTTGGCAGGCGGGGGGAGCTCCAGCTTTCATCCCAACTGCATTTCTCCAAGCACCAGTCATCCCCCCTCCCCACTCCCCTCTCTCACCCCCCCGCCCTCTCTGGGTCCCTGGAAGGTCACAGCCACCAAATGATGAAGCTGGGGGTGAAGTAACCTCTCCCTCTTTTCCAAGCAGCAGGGATCAAACATTAGCCGCCATCGGGTGAATCATTAACCCCAAAGGGCTGCCCCGGGAGAGGGGAGCGTGCTGGCATGGCTGAGGGTCACCTTGAAACCTCCTCACCACCACGGTGCTGTGGCTGGTTGGCCACAGACTCTGGGTCCTTGCCCTGTTCCTACAGGGAGCTGGAAGTGCTCCAAGTGCTCTCATCCCAGCCAGGATGGACACCCCAAAGCCCTGTGGCACCCGGAAACTGGCCCTGAATGCCAGTACAATGCGCTTGGGGAGCATCCCCTGTGCTGGCCAATGTGATTCACCAGGAGTGATGCTCAGTCTTGTGAAGAGAGCCAAAACTCACTGGTTCTGTTTGGAAAGGCCAAGGCTGGATGGAAAGCGATTCTGGATTCGGCAGCATCCCACGGGTACAAGGCAGAAGCATCCCCTTAGCGCCTGGGGGAGTCTGTGCAGGGGAGACACAACACAGGGATGTCGCCCAGCCACGTTACCTGAAGAAGCATTAATAAAGACACAAGAAACCCCTTCATCCTCCTCAGGGAGAGCATCGCAAGGCAGAGGCAGGTGCCTGCCGGCCAGGTGAGTCCAACACAGGTCTCTGACAGCCTCGCAGAAGCCCTGGCATGGCGGGGGGGTTACGGGGACCGAGGGGCTACAGCCGGGGAGCAGCAGCAAGCAGAGGAACCACTCCAGGTAGTGATGGCACCGCGACTCAAGCAACCCCTCCCACTCATGCAAAGCCGCCCGAATTTCCTCCTCGCTGCCATGCTGAAGGTAATTTGGCAATCGGACATGGCTGGTGCCCAGCACGCTGCAGAAGGGCAGGTGGGTCGGGATGGGCTGGCAATGGCCGGCCACTGGCATCAGTCCTGGAAAGAAGGATGTGAGCCCCACGCCGTCACTCCTGTAGAGCTGCATGGTAGCGGTTAGTAAATCGAACTCCAGAGGGACAGAGTTATTGGCAGCAGGAGAATCCACACCCTTATCCACCCTCTGGTCAGGCCAAGGGGGGCTCTGGCTTCCTTTCTGGCTGGCCAGAGCCAGCCCCGGCTGGCCGGCACCATGCCATGGGGTCGGTGATGCTGCGTGGAAGTAATGGGGAGATTGTGCCAAGGTGTCCTGGAACGGCACCGCCTGCTCATGGGTACTGTCACCTGGTGAGAAAGGAAAAGGGGCACTACCTGGCTGGAGACCCGCTGGTCTCTGCAAGGACACCCGTGTCTCCATTGCTGTAGGAGTTCCCGTCCCCAGGAACTTTGGGTTCTCGGTGGTCACCGTCCTCAGAAACTGTGGGTTCTCCGTGTTCTCCAGGAGCTCTGGGCTCTCGGTGGTCACTGTCCTCAGGAGTTCAGTGTTCCTCATCACCAGGAACTGCAGATTCTCAGTGGTCCTCATGTCTGGGAGCTGTGGGACCTTGGTGGTCCTTGTCCCCAAGAGCTGTGGGTCCTCAGTGGTCCCCGTACCCAAGGGCTGTGAGTCCTCAGTGATGCCTGTCCCCAGGAGCTGTGGGTCCTTGGTGCTCCCTGTCACCAGGAGATGCAGGTCTGTGGTACTCATCATCCCTAGGAGCTGTGGGTCCTCAGTGGTGCCCAACCCCAGCAGCTGCAGGTCCTCAGTGGTTCCCATCCTCAGAAGCTGTGGGTTCTCAGTGGTCCCTGATCCCAGCAGCTTCAGGTCCTCAGTAGTCCCTGTCCCCAAGACTTGTGGATCCTTGGGGATCACTGACCCCAGGAACTGGGCGTCTTCGATGGTACTCATCCTCAGGAGTAGCAGGTGCTCAGTGGTCCCTGTCTCACGGAGCTGCAGGTCCTCGGTCATCCCTGACCACAAGAGCTGGGGGTCCTTAGAGGTCTCTGACCCCAGGAGCTGAGGGTCCTCACTGTTCCCTGAGCCCCGGAGCTGCAGGTCCTCAGTGGTCCCTGACGCTGGCAGCTGGGGGTCCTTGTGGGTCCCTGTCCCCAGGAGCTGGGGGTCATTGGTGGGGCTGCTGGCCACCTGCTGTCCTGGGGCAGGTGACATGCTGTGGAGAGGAGCAATGCTTGGCCACGCCGTGCTCTCCACCAGCCCTGTGGCATTCCTGTCCCACTGCTCTGTGGTTTTGGCTGCGGCTCCCTCACCCACAGGTGTTGCTGTAGCAGGATCTGGCTCCTGCTGCCGTGGGGTGGTGACATTTCCTGCCACCTCACCACCCCACATCCCTGGGGATGGGCTGGGAGCCGGAGCCGCTGCTGAGGTTGGCGGCGACGCCGGGATTCCCTCACCGGGTACTGCTGGGCTTCCTGTGATCTTCATGCTGTCCCAAACCCAGTCCAGGAGCTGTGTTTCGGAGCAGGAGAAGCAGCAAGCCAGGAGGAGCACAAACCCCAAGCGAGGTGGGGCCATCAGAAGGGGAAAACAAGCTCCGTTGCTCCCGAGAGCAGAGTGGAGAGGCTGGAGGAAGGAAAGCAGGGAAGAGGCAGGAGCTCTGTCCCGGCCAGACTCTCGGAGCACTCACATCGCTCTCTCCTCCCAAGCTCCGGCACTCGACCCATCAAACCGGAGCAGAGCAGGGGGAGGAGTGGCCGCACCGCCGGCCCTGCCAAGCCTTCCACTCCCCAGCGCCAGCCTCCCGCTGCTGGCACGGCCCCTCGGGGACCCCGCTGCCTGCCTGGGGACTCACCTGAGCTCCCCAAAACCTCCGGGAGCAAAGCCAGCCTTCAGATGCACCCTATTGCCTGTCCCAGCAGCTGCTGGCAGATGTTTAACTCCTTCCTGCCCGGAAGATCCTAACTCCTCTCTCCCTGCTCTATGGCTCCAGTTAAATTCCCAGCATATAGAGCTGTATGTGGTGGGGTCGTGCATGGACATGGTCCTCATGGATGCCCAGCTTTGGTGGGATACCCCACTTCAGGCCTCGGGAAAAGGTTATAATCTCGGAGCAAAACTGAACGAGGAGGGAAACAAATCCCAGAAAACATTTCCAATATTTCCACCAGCTGAAAACACAACAAGTCCCCAAAGCCAAGTGTTTAAAGCTGCTTGCCCGGCTCAGTTACAGGGCCAGGACCCCCCAGGTGCTGTCACAGGATGTCCAGGGGAGCACTGCAGCTTTCCTGCCCCCGCAAGCATCACGCGCCAGCAACGCCTTGAAGCCAGGTCTGAGCAATCACAAGTTTCCCAATCACAAGTTTTCCTGGAGCCCTGGGATGAAAATCTTCCCTGGGCAGTGCTGGCATTTTACCACGCCTCAAAAATTTTGATTGTTCTTTGCCTTGGCTTAAAAAAGTTACCCCCAAATCCACTTATCCAGCTCGGGTGACGGTGTCCCTCATTCCTAGGAATGGCCAAGCAGAGATGGAGCATTCCCAGGGCCTACACTGCCATGGTGATACCAGGCAAGTCACCTCCATGGCTCAAGAAGTGTCCCTGAGACAGGGTTTTGATAGGGAGGTGGCAATTTTGGCTTTCCTTGGCTGTGTGTGACCACAAAGGTCAGAGTGTGCCATAACATGGTCTCTGCAGAGTAGAGATCTCCGCATGCCAGAGCTGATGCTCCAGTTTAAAAATATTCAGGAAAATCACCACGACAAATGCCCAGATGTTCATTTTGCTTTACGCAACATTTCCCACAGTACTTCTGAAGAAAAACAGGCGAGTTTTACCCTGAAAATGGGAGCTGGCAGCTGCTGCCAGCAGCCCTCCCCGTGACCGATACTGTTAGGGGCATCTGCTGCGGAACAGCCCCCACCAATCCACACAGGACATGGGTTTGTCCAGATGGCAGAGCTTCCATATGGCTCCCTCCTGGAGCTCCAGTACTTCCATCAGCCTGGGGAAGGAGCCAGGTGTCTGCCAACCTTCTCTGGCGTGTCCTGACAGGCTTGGCTGCCCTGGGGCCAGGGTGCGGTGGCACCATGCGGTGCAGGATTTCTTGGCACATCCAAGAGGGATAGGAGTGACTGCTGCTTCCATTCCCACTGGTGGGATGGAAAACCTTGGTGTTCCTGGAGCCTCTCCCCGCCCCAGAGCTGTGCGGCTCCCCCAGAGTGTGGGGAGCATCACATGCTCCCATGAGCTGCCTGGTCTCTGCCAGGAGGATTTGGGCAGCAGCACCCTGCTGGGGTAGCCCAAGCATGTGCAGACAGGATGCCCAGCCAGAGAAATTCCCGCTTCTCCCTTCTGCTGGAATTAGGCAGCTCATGACACGGATGGAGTAGCAGTCCCGTGCGACACCCTCATTAAGTCAATGACCTTCATTTCACTGCACACCTCCTTCCAGGAAGCTCCCCAGGAGGGAGCCAGGGCTGGGGCATCCCCAAAAAAGGGATTTCCAAACTAGGTGCCCTGAGGGTGAGCTGGTGGCACTGGTGGCACTAGAGCATCTTAGTCCAGTGCAACCAGCTCTGCCACTGACCAAGCAGCCAGGCAGAGACTGGGAAGGCACCAGCTGGTGAAATATTTTGGAGAAGTATTCCCTCAGGGAGAAGCCATGGCAGCTGGCTTGCTGGCAGAGCAGGGAAAACCCCTTGGTTTTTCCTCCTCCAGGCTAAAGGCTCCCAAAAAACACTTTGCACACTCCACAAGATGCTGCTCCCAGCTTGCCATAACCTTGGACCCCTTGAAAAGCAAAATTGGAGCCTCACCCTGGTCCCAGTTTCCTCCCAAAGGGGCTGACTGCATCTTCCCAAAACTTCTGGCACCTGGTGCTGCAACATGGCTCCTCAGGAAAAGGGGGGATTGGGTTGCCCTAAGAAGGCACTGAGGGCTCAGTCCTGGGCCAGAAAAATAGAGGGGTGGAAGGGGGGAAAGGGAGGGAAAAGGGAAAAGAGAGAAAAAATCAGAGATGGAGGAAAAGACTGGAGATGGGGAAGAAAAGAGATTGGGGGAAGAGGGTGGGGGGAAAGAGAGTGGGGAGAAGAGGAAAAGGAGAGGGGAGGAAGAGGGAAAGAAGAAAGGAGAAAAAAGAGATTGGGGAAGTCAAGGAAAGACTGGGAAGTGCAGGAAAGTGTGTGGGGGAAGTGGAAGAAGTGGAAAATGACAGTAGGAAAGAGAAGGAAAGAGAAAGGAAGGGAGAAAGGACAAAAGCGAGGAAAAAAGAAGAGGGGAAAAGAGGGGGGAAAGAACAGAGAAAAGAACAGGAAAAAAGAGAAGAAGGTGATGAGAAGGAGGAAAAGAGAGGAGGATAAGGCAAGAAGGGGGAAAGGGAGGGGAAGAGAAAGAAAAAAGAGATGGAAGAAAAAAGACAAAAAGGGAGGAAAAAAGAAGGAGAAGAAAGGAAACTGAAAACAGAAAATGGGAGTAAAAAATAGGGGAAAAAAAAAAGAGAGAGAGAAAAAAGGCGGGGGGAAAGGGGGAAAATAGATAAGAATAGGAAAAAAGAGCCTGTCATCCAGACCTGCAGCCTTTCATCCGTGGTCAAAGTACACCGATGTTTCTCCCCGGGGTTGCTCATCCCGCAGGATTTTGGGAGAGGACAGGGAGCCTGCCGCAGCCCAGCTCAGCAATTTGTCCTGCACAGGCCAAGGACTCCCCAGCAGGAGCCAGGCAGATGGACGGACAAGCAGAGGATGGAGGACGGATGGACAGCAGAGGGAGCCTCAGGCTGAGCAGAGCGCGGACACTTCCTCAGGAGACCCCACTTGGCTGGACACAGCCCTGAGATCACAGAGCTCCGGCAGAGACTGGGAGGGAGCAGGGGTGGGCACAGCCCTCCTGGAACCGGGGGAAGGGCAAGGGGAAGGGAGGAAACCCTGACAGGAGCACAGGCAGAAAACCAGAGGTGGGAGCACTCTCGGACTTAGCAGAAAAATTCAGGGACTGTCAGCAGGTATCTATAAATCCTATTGACACTTGGGATTCTAATCCGTTCCCCATCTAAAAGCCCCACACAGCAGTTGAAAGGCCCTCCTGGGGATGCATGCCGAGGATGTTGTCACATCCCGAGCCGCTGACCTCCCCTGCTGCCAGTCCCTGGAAAGAGACAGCGGCACCCAGCCCATGGGTGGGCACCCAGCCAGGGAGATGGGGAGCGGGAGACAAAGGTGCACAGGAGCCAAGCTGGCGGGAGTGACAGCAGCCAGCCCAGCCCCAAAAATGACACAGGTGCCACTCTGCCAGCCTCTGCCTCCAGGACAGTGTTCCCCCCTGCCTCTGGCTGTGTAACACCACGGAGCCCCCCCGGGACCGCAGCATTCCTAAACATTTACTCATGGAGAGCCAGAAACATCCTCCCAGCAAATTCCTCGATAAGATAAACGGTGAAAATGTCACGACTGCCTGTAGGAGCCATCAAATAGCCCCAGGAGGGGAAGAAGGGTGGCCATGCCCACACCCCTGTCATTACCTGCATCCTCCTCCTGCTCTTGAGCTGAGCAGGGCTGGACAAGGCACAGTCAAGAGGTGCTGGTGTCCTACTCTGCCCCATCCACATGGACAAGCAGACAAGGCAGCAGAGAATTGGGGCTGGAGTGACTTTGGCCACCCCGTGATGTTTAGATGAGAGAGAATGGGGAGAATGGGTGGTGGAGAGGGACCATCAATATTTGGGCACAGCCGAACCCAAGGGAGGTGTATAAAACTCAAGGTGAGCTTGGGGTGAGCTGTAGCCCCAGTCCCCCCTCATCCTGCCTCCACTGGGGCCATGTCTCTGCTTCCAATCACTCACCTGCCCCCGGGGTCAACTGACAGCCCGGAGATAAGGCAGGGAAGGCAGGGGAAGGAATGCGACCCCCTGGATCATCCTCCTCCACGTTAATAAATCATCTTGCAGACTAATTGCTCCCCCGACAGGAGAAGACTCTGCTCCTCACCCCCCACCAAGGTTCTGGCTCAGCCAGGGAGCCCCAAATTTCAATTTAGTTCCTGGCATTCCTGCCTCAGCTTCGGCAGCTTGACCACCCTCGGGAGAGGCACCTGGTGGAGGGTGTTGATTGTGGTCTCTCTAAGGGACAGGGAGGAAGTGCATTCCCATTCCCAGGCACTTCTTTCCCCGAGGATACAGGGAGATCATTGCACCTGGCACCCAGGTTAGCATTGTAGACAGTTTCTGTGTAGCAGGATGAGGGGAGATGAGGGATGGGACAGAGGGTTTGTGATCCAACTTGATGCCATCCCAACCAGAGAATCAGAGGAGGACAGTGCACCCAGGTGGGTACATGTCCCCAGAGTTCAAACAAACCTTTCCAAGCCAATGATGTCCCTCAACCATGCCAGGATTTTAACCCTCCAACGTGACAGAGAAACAAAGCACTGTCAGTGGGTAACCCAGCACCAGCTTTGAAGCCTACACAACAAAAACAGGAAGTTGCCCATCCCCAGCTGTCTTCCAGGACTTCAGAAGCAAAGAAAACACCAACAGCTTAAAAACCCCAATTCACCAAACAAAATACAGAAGAGCTACCAAGCGATCTACCTGAAGCTACAACGGAGCATCACAGCCTCCATCCCGTGGAACAGCATCCGTCCTGCACCCACTCCAGCCAG